AAAAAAAAAAAAAAAAAAAAAAAAATTGTCCTCGCAGGAAAAATTTCACCGATTATGAACTTTGACCCCCGCCTGTGTCTCCTTCAAATTAAAATGGAGCATCATCTAATGATTGAATGTATCAAATCTCAGACGCATCGACCTTGAGGAAGATTGGACTCTTTTTCAAGATTTCATAGTCTAATATTCCTGATGCTCATTCAATGTTACTTCCAGATCGCATAAAAACTTACCTCATCTGGTTGTAGACCTAATCTCCTGCCTAACCCACGCCAGTTGTTTGCTACAAGGCTGGCAACTGAGTCCAGGTGTTCTTTGGTAACAAGAACCGGTTTCTTTTGGTCACCTTCGGTAAGAAAAAGTTAGAAAAAATTAATTTTCAATAATTAAAATAAATGGTACTATTTACAGGAAAAACAAAATACATACATAATGAAAAGATACAAAGGCTGACCCAAAACAACTGTCCATCAACCTTGTTCTCAAAAACTAGAAAGGATAATGAGGTAAAGTTTGTAGGGGAGGTTTCAGCACGACTCATTAGCTTGGAAATGAGACTAAGATAAGCTGATTTGGCTTGGAATCGACAAATCTTAAGCAACTTTACAAGGTATCGTTTTACTCCTAAAGGATTTACAATCCTCTAAGTTCCTGCACTCTTTGTTTGACAGCTATACTGCATGAACTTGGTATCACTGGTCTTATATGTACCAGAATCTTTGACTCCAATGTGGCAACAACAAAGATTTTAACACCTCTTTTATCTTCGATCATCTGCTACAGATTCGTGGTGCTTGGATAGTTCGCAATCACAAGACCTCTGCAACCTGCACAAAGTCTCTTGCTGCGAAATTGAGAACGAAGCAGCAGTGGGCCATTCAATATTGTGTTTGTAGAGGTTTGACAGCTGCTAAAATTTCTGAAGAGATGAAAGAAGCTCTTAAAGAAAACATGATCCGCCCCTAAACCATTCATATGTGGCATACACTTTTCTCTTTTCTACAAGAGGAGACGCTATTAGGGCAGGTAAAAAAAACCCAAGAAGCTGGCATCATCGAGCGATGTACATGAGCGATGACTGGCAAAGCCGACTCGGGTAGACGTCTGATCCCTCTGCATATTGTTAAAAGGGGTCTCACCATCAGTGCAGAATACCTGTCTCCCACAGTGATCCTTCTCTTTGAATGATGCAGCAGCAAGTCTCAGCTCTTAGAGTCTGATGATAAATTCATTTCATCAGAAGGAAAGCTTTTGGAGTTTTTGATAAAAAGGAGGTGTTTAAAAATTTATGGACTATTTTTTACTTCCCAGGTTTCTTTTAGGTCTTAAGTACGATAATAACTTACTTTTGGATGCCTTATCATCGCTTTTTATTAAATCCTCATCCATGTTCCCTGTTTCTGTCATTTCGACAGTGTTTGTGTTCTCCTGCTCAGGTTCCGTCTTTACGCCATCAACTACATGTACTTTCTGAAAGAAACAATGGAATGCATTGAAGACAATTAGCACAGCTCTTTTAGACTAAAGATAGGACTCTAAACTTAGAAAATAACTAAAATAAAAAATCCTAAGGTTTACTTAAAACTGAAAAAATATGATGAAATATTCAATACGTCAATTTCAATCTCCCCAATGCATTGAATTTTCTCAGATTAGTTCACGACCAGAGAAAATGGATCAGTTAGGTGGATCACAAATTTGTTTTGGATGGTTTCCCTTACATGATAACAATGAAGAATAAGATCAAATCAAATGCCAAAATTTTACAAGACTCGCAGTACAGAGTGAAAGATTATAAAAAAACTTGTTAATGTAGTACATAATGGAAACTGTTATGTAGATTGACATGCAATTAGGGCAAAACTCCCTCTAGCAAAAGGGAAAATACTTTTCAAGGCAGGACCTTTTGCCCTTCAGGGACTGATAATTTATGGAAAAAATCACAGGTATAATAATAATCACACTATCTTTCACGATTATAAAATCTGAGGTAGGTCATTTTTTCTTTCCTCATTCATATTAATTTTTGTCAAAATGAAGATAAGGCATTTCAGAGTTTTTTTTCTAGGATGGCTTGATTGATGCTTTTTGATAATTGCACACATCTTTCTTTTACTTAGGAAGGTCTCAAAGTGACCTTCAGTTTCTCATCGGAATTGGGATAGCACCCAGAAATTATGATACAGCAGGGTAAATCAGGATTTAATGGTATGGATTGAAATATACCCAGGTAAATGGGAATAAAAAGATACATAAGATATAATGGGAAAATTACAATGGAACAGGATAAGTAAATCTTGATAAAATTTTTAAATTTTCTGTTCGTTTCATCCATTGATAGTGGCAGGACTACCAGCTGAAACATTATTGTTTTTTTTTTAATGGTTCGGCTTTATATGTGTGTAAAAGTCGCTTTTGCGACGCACTAGGGCGCTCTATGATACCTACTTGCCACAGGAATCGGCCTTATAACGGGTTTTTTTTGTGTGCTAAGAGAGAAGTGCTTGAAGAGTATTATTTTAAGTGCATACTATTTGCTAAGAGAAGAAAATGATCTTATACGTTAAATTTTACCGTATGTCTTTCTTTGAATATCTTTTTGATCATGATATCCAGGTATTCAGGTAACGTGTTAATCGGATTATTGCTTTGAACAAAAAAGTATGGACTCCGCCTTGCCAAAAGTCGTAAAGCTCTCCAGCCAAAATTACCATCATTGACTTTCCTGTAATGTAAAATATAATTCATGAGCACAATAAGATAAAAAAAGATTGCTGATTAATGCGACATTCAATCTTTCCTTGATTCACTTAATTCCTAGGATATTTCTAGCAGGAGAGCTCCAGCAATGACCATTTATTTCAATTAAAATGACAGAAATAATACTTAATCTGTTTTCTTTTGTATTTTTCATGCAACATTCTTAGACTACTTAGTTCACTACCAACCAAGTCATAGTGTGCGTGTGTTCTTTGGTCATACAAAGCAAAGCAGTTCCGATGACTTGCCTCATGAACAGCACATTTTCATCACATTGTTGTGCGATATGGACATGTTAAGCCTGATCTTGTTCATGAAAAGCCTTCCTGCTCCATTGTCAATGAATTAGTGGAGTATTAATTGGCATTAGGTGAATAAAAAGAAGTCACAAATCTTTTTTCTTTTAGGCTGTGGGCTAGCAGAGGGGAAACCCTTTCTGTGGGAATTTTGAAGATGATGATTGTTTTACAGCTCTTCAAAAGTAAAGAAAGATTTCTTTTGTTTACATAAAGTCTACCATGGTGGAGGGGAGGGAGATGACTCCCAAATTGCTTAGAATTTAGACTTTTTTAAGAATTAGTCAATTTTTTCTTGAAAACAGCTTATCTCAGAACAACTTCTAACAGAAAATCTGAAAGCTCTTAAAATTTCGTTAAAGAAGTTGGGCCTAGGACCAGCAAATATCTCATAATGGGGGGAAAGGAGCTTGAGTTGTCAAAATATCTCAACTCAACCAGCAAATGACTGTTTTGCTACAATTTCTCTCCAACAACAGGAAAAAGGATGGTATCCCACCTATAATAGTTACCCGACCTATGTCAGCAATTCTTTCGTTCACGATAACTATCGTTAGCTTTACGTTAGCTTCTTCAAATTTTGCAATTTTGTCCATTTTGGTCTTATGAAGAACTGTATAAATTTTCGATTAAATCGCATTTACCGTTAACTTATAAACGGTAATTAACGTAAGTGTCCTACTTACGCTGTTTTTCACTAAACTGTTTTTATGAAAGTTCCATTCCTTGGTTTCCTTTGTTTGCTATCAGCTGATGTTTTTATTCAACTTATTTTTTCCTTTTTTTTCATTTTTTTTCATTCTTTTTTTAATAAATCATTCCTAGGTTAGTTCTAATTTTTTTGCCAGCATTTATTCTACCTACCCCCCCCCCACCCGCAGCTCATTTTTCTAGCTCCATCACCCTCTCCCCACAACTCATCAATTTTATCATTTCTATCAATTTTATCATTTTTTTGTATGGCATGTCTTGCTCCCCTACCACCATTTTTTCGGGGTTATAGATATTTCAGCGGCCTCTAGACCCGTGACTCCAGTCACGGGCATTTCGCTAGTTATTATATAATTTTTTGACCCTAGAGTGATAGAACTAATAGTCTTCATTTTCGGGGGGGAGGGGGAGGGGGGGTGGAGAACCTCCCTGGATACCAACTATAGAGAAACCATCAATATCAACTGCTTCCATGAAGTAGCATCGTTCACAAGAACAGATGACAACATGAAAACAAGTAGCATTTGTTCTAAAGAGAGCACATCTATGTGACCTACTGGAAGAGGGGAGGGGGGAAGGTTTTACATCCCCCCCCCCATTAAAAAATAATCACAAAAAAGGTGAAATAAAGAAATGAAACACCACATACAAATGGACAAATTGGCATGGTCTTCTTTTCAATCTACATCTTCAATAAAATTACTTAACTTCATGAAAAAAGAAAAAAAATTAACTCATACTTGTATTGATCTTCAATCATTAGCGAAGGGTCAGCTTCTTTTGCAGCCTCCTCAAAATAGGATTCAATTGATGGAAGGAAATCTCGTTGCTTGGCCTTACATGACTCCAAATTATCAGCTGCATGATTCCACAGTTTGTCTAATTCTGAGCTATAGGCGTGGAAAAAAAAACAAAACAATTTTGAGACAATGAGTAAAAAGGAAAAAAGGTAAAGAAAATCAAGCTGAACTGGCGGTCCTACTGAAATGATCGTCATGACTAGACAATCTGCTACTGGTACACAGGGTTGAAGCTTTTATAATTCCCGGGGAAACTAGCGACAGTTTTGCTTAGAAGGATAAGTCCGACTTATTTCTCTTGTCTCTTTTTACTTCTATTCATGCAATAGAAGAGTGCAGCTATTGCTTGCATTTTACGCTATCAGCAACTCCACTTAAAATAAACAATTTTGTATGGGTCCAAGAAAAAGATCCAGAAATACTCATCCACTGTGAAGATCCTGTAAATCATGTAAAGATCCACTCATAAAATTTATTATATATTATATTTATTATATTTTTACCTTTTCTGTTCATGCTGGACACAGCAAACAAATACTCTAAAATCTAATATCGTTAAAAAATTGGAGGGAAAAAGTTAACATATTTTTTTACTTTCTTTTTTTAAATTAGAAATTAGGTTTTGACTGTTTTCTCTGGGCCGAGGTTTTACATTTGAAGTTTGAAATAAAAAATTTCCTAGATTCTGTGCGCAAAAATCCAGATTTGTCTGGTCCATAAGGTAAAAATATGTAAAATAAAAAAAAAACAATAAAGGGCAAATCAAATTTTCTTGAAAAAACTGAATTAGAGAACTTATTAAGAAAACTCGAATTTAAAAAGTGTCAACTAAGTACAGAACATACTTTGTAAAACTAAAAAAAAAAGAGAAAAAAAAGGCTTCCAATTCAATGTCATTTTCAAAAAGGAACAAATCTTGATTTAAAAATTACAAACAGAAATTTTTGGAAAAATGTTCCAGTTTGCTACTTTTACTGATTACACAGAATAATATGATCACTTACTTCCCCAAATAGAACTGCTTCTTTTCCGCAGCTCCTTTAATTATGTCACCTAATAGCCTTGAATCAGTCTTTTTGGTGCGGTTCTTTGTTAGTTCAAAGTCAGATTTTTCATCCATTACTGCTGGAGGCTCAGGCTTTTTGAACTCAGCACAGCCTTCATTTTTCCAATTATTCCAGTGCTCCTCACGCTGAAAATAAGAAGAATTCAGATTTCAGTGGTCCGAAGGTTTGGGTTAAGGTACAGGTTCCATTTCTGGTAAATGTGGTGAAGGTATTCAGGTTCTACTTCAATTTACAATTCTATTGCAAAATGAATCTTGCGATTCTTGGGTACGGAATAGAAGTTAAAATCAGTCTGCTGTTTTAGAAATTCCTTTTCAATTCATTGAGCTTTTATAAGTTAGTTCTGATTTTCAGAGACAACTCTTAAAAATAAGCTTTGCTTTGCCCCATAAGTATAGAGAAATAGGTAGAGGTAATGTATAAATAATTAAAAGGACAACGCACGGAATACCAAGAAATTCCGTGGTGGCTGAATTTCAATAATGTTTGATATGATTTCTCCTTGGTGATCAGGGAGAGCTTATGTTTCTTGGCAGGCTGAGAAGATTAGATAGTAAAAAAAAAAATCCTCCAAATGATGACAGGAGCAGTGGTGAAGCAGTTCTCCATTAGAGAAAGCATGTAAGGAGAACAAAAAAGCCACCTTCCAGCCATGCTTATCTCAACATTAGCAAACAGAAAGTTTAATTTTCATAGTTCATTGATCTTGGAAACCATAAGGAACAACATGTAAAAAATAAAAAAGTTTAGTTGAGAAGTTAACAATTTTTTCGGTACTCTGTGAGTGGTTCTTTGTTTTTTCATGAAGTAATTACAAGACAAACAAATTACCTGAAAAATATGTTTGATAGTTTCCACAAACAAAACACCATCAGGAGGTGTTTCATGCAGTAAGGAGTAGACTTGCTCTGTTATCGTTTTAATCCAGTCAAGCTGATCTGGTTTTAACTCTGCATTATCCCTGAGAATACAAAAATTACAATGACAACATGATGAGGGGCTGTTCATAACTTACATAAGGCACCTATGGTGGAAGGGGGGGAGGGGTCAAGAGATGCTTTACGGATGCCTTGCAGGGAAAAGAGGGAGGGTCAAGCACTACCTTACTTGAGACCAAATACCTGCTTGAATAGAGGAATATGAAATTTTAAAATACATTTCTTCTTGAAAAAGTTCAAATTTTGTGCTTTTTTTCTTTCTTTTTTATTTTTCTCCCTTCTTTAAAGCACCTATGTCCGTTTATGATTAGCATTTATAGAGATAACTTTTTCTAGAGTACATAAATTTGATGCTTCAAACAGTATTGATTGGTTTGGACACTATTTTTTTCTATACAATGTGTTTTCTCCCCATTACAAAATTTTAAAAATGGGTTTTAAAAATGGGGGGAAAATAGTTACCAATTACCAACCAATGACCAGTATTTCAATAGGTAAAAATTCGGCATAATTCATCATTAGGAGTTACTTGAGACTTCTTCAAAAGAAGAAGTTGATATTATAAAATAAAGAGCGAAGGTCGTCTGGTTTGCTATTCCCCTCTTATGACTAACCTTGGTATAATATTTTTGGAAATTTATTAAGTTCCGAAAATTGTTTAGAACTTACATTTTAAATTTGACTGGCGAAGTCAAGTACTGAAACAATATCAGGCACTGAACAAGAATGTATCTCCGGAAATTCACATCACTCAATTCCAGTTCTAAGAGCTTCTGATTAGTCAAGAATTTGGCAAAATAATGTTGGCCTTGAAGTTGACTCTCGATGGACATGGACAAAGAGTCTTTGCTAACATTGATGTCGTCCAGCTTAAAATTTTTAAAAGCAGTCAGCACGCAGCTACAATACTACCGAGAAAAGAAAGAGAGAAGGTGTATAAAAAACAAAGCATATTATGTGAATATAAGAAATATAAATGTACATAATATAGACAGATTTAGTATAAATATATGTATAATAAAACTATTATCATTATCACTGATAAAACTAATTACATTGAAAAGATGAAGAGTTTACTTCCAGATGCCTCGAGCTACAAGCTTATGAAACACTCGCTGATCTCAGTTCATACCTGCTGCAAAAATAAACAGTGCCCCCCAAAATTGGGTTAATAAACAGTCATGCAATGCAGACTTGGTTATTACTGGATTTGCGTGTCTCTCCGTCACCCTTTGGCATCAAATAAAAAAGACTAACTATTGAAATGGCACCGTCTTTTGCTGCCTCTGATGATAGATTTTCAAGTGTCCTTAAGTACCTAGCACAACACGGAGTCAAACCTTGACCTCTGTGTTAGCAACAGACTCTCTGAGTAATTTGAGAGGGTCAGCTAATGCTCACTAATGAAGAAAAGAAATCAACCATGAAAAGTCTGGACTGAAAATAGCCTCTTAACAGAAGTAAGCGTCTCCAGTATTAAAAAAAAAAAAATTAAATAATCAAGATAAAAAATTAATTGAACAGTGTTAATCACTTACACTGGTAAAAGTTTTCCACTGGACTTTGTTATAACAAAGTGTGGGGTTACGGAAATAATCTTGCAGAGCCCAGAATTTTGTGTACAGGTTGAAATCAACTTTGAGTCTAAAATGAAAAAAAATTAACATACATATTAAGAACACATATCTGTAATGACGTTAACTTACTGATAGAAAAGAAAAAATACACCCAAATTATGACCTGAATACTGTAACTCGGTGATGCAATGCTGTTGGGTTCAGCAGGGGAATCAAAACCAAACAAAACCAATAATTGGAATTAGAGTTTCAAAATGAACTCTGATGAGTTTCAGTACTAGACTGAGGGGAAGAATGACCAGCTCCTTGTAGCTGAGTATACCAATGAGTCTGCCTCTGCTGAGCACTCCTAACTCCCACCCCCTCCCCTCAGTCTTACTTTGGAAGAACATCAGCCGATAAAAAAAAGAAAAAAATTACATATTCTGTAAATCAATCATTTCAATGCTCCTTGGAAAATGTGGTATTCTGATAACATTCATTGGATACTGATACTACTTAGAATGAGAGCTGATCATTTGAAAACCTTTAGAATATCAAAATTCTAGGGTTCTATAATAAAAAAACAACACAGGTACAACGATTTCCTTGGAACACCTACAGATCCTGGATAGCCAAGTGAGTCACCACTCAATGAATTGGTCCGAAAACTAAAGACAATCTAAAGTTACTCACTTATTGTTGACTTCAGCTTCCACATCTTCCTGTACATCCATTTTCTCAAAACTGGTAGTGCTATACTCTGTGACATTTTCCAAGTTAAATTCACTGATGATGTTTAAACCTAGGACATACATAACACACATTTTTAAAATCGACATCAGTTTGCCTAAAAATTTCTTAGGTTTCTGGTGCAATTTTAGGGTCCTTCCTCTCGGGTAGAGCCCCCCTAATTAACATAAAAAGGTGTCCAAGGGTTCTCCCCAATAAAATTTTGTAAATACTCTTTACTTAAATTGTGAATGTGTTGTTAGTGCAATATATTACTCAGAGAAAGGTAAAATTATCTTCCATGCACTGCAAGGAACGTAACAGAGCGTCTGAGTGAATTGGGTTCCCCTTTCCATGCTCTTGACTTGAGTAAGTTTATTTTTAATTAGATCTAGAAAATAAACTTTTTTCTGATGAGCACAACAGAGTTCTGCCAGCAGCCAAAGACAACATACAATGAATTTCATACAGAACAAATAAAAGTCATAGGAAACAAGTCTTAGAAAGGAATTAAATGCCAAAACGTTTTCATCGAATGAGTCTGTTGCACACAAAAGATACAGCCAAAAAAATAGACAATCAATAGATCAAATCACAATGGACACATCAAAAAAGTCTGAAACCCATTCCTCAGCTCATAATATGCATAGTTAACAAGACACTTTTTCAAATTTAGTGCATCCTTGCACTATTTTTCTCCGTAGCTGATGATCAGGTTTGCCCAAAAAGAGACACAAGAAAACAATTTCAATGCACAAATTTGCTCAATGGAATACTAAGAGCTGGTCCAGGAATATTCCTGAAAATCCTTGTCCCTTCAGCCTCCAACATGGAGAAAATAATAGAATAAAACTGTGGACAAGTAATTTGAGTCAATACTTAACTTACCTGATCTTTCAGAGAATGAGAAAAACTTAGCTAAAAACAACAGAATGCGACCACAAAAAACAGTATTTTGAGATCTTGACAGCCTTCTTAGGAGATCTAAAACAAAAACAAGGTAGGTATTCAATTTAGATCTGAAAAAAGTAAGAGGCACACACAAGTTTACTACTAGTTACAATCCATTAGTTTCTTAAAATGAATCCTCTTGACGACATGTGTTAGAAGAAGATAGATAAAGAAAAGCAGAGGGTAAGATTGCATTGCTTGAAAAAAGGTTAAGTAGGTACATAAATAAATTTAGATTTTACAAGTTTAGTGATAGTTTTTTCACTGTGAAAGATTTTGAACTTTAAATGACTTACCATTACACATGCGCAGTAAATTGTTTTTACAGGCAGTAAAAAACATCTCTTCTTTCCAAACATTGACATTCCGCTCAACGAAGGAAAACAACTTTTCACAAACATCTAAAGTTGATGTGTCAAAAATGTCACCAAGAAGCAAAATAGGCATTGTTGGAGAGCACATGTCTCTCTTGCAAGCTTCAATACAGATGTTCAAGTGAACTTCAAATGCTGAGATCATTTCTCCTTTCTGCAAAGTTTTGATTGTCAGAAAGTTGAGCAAGTGATCTCGTAAAACTTGATCCACAACTGCATGTTTGTCATGATCTCTGAAAAAAAGAGATGAGGAATTGTCTGATTAGAACTACAATTCAGTCTTAAAGTAATGAGATAAAATTATGGTTGAGATCTCTAAAAAGTGGTGAGACAGCAATTTGTGAAACAATGTGTAATACATTATCTGTACACTTTTTCCTACTGAAAATACACCAGTATGTTCTCCAGCAATGTCATGCCTGGACCAAAGACCTTGTAATGAGCGTTTATCATTACGAAAATGCATGGATTTAAACTTTTACATATACTTAGGTGTGGTTGAAGGTGAGTGTGTGCATTTATTAGGTAAGGTGTTATTTAAAACCTGGTAAGTTCCAATTTGTTTTCAACTTTCCAACTATCCAAATAGCATGACAAGGCAAGACAGTAATATAAAGAATAATTTGCAGAGGAAAATACATCACAATCCAATGCATGCTAGTTATTACATGACAAGTGTGTCCAACAGCGATTGTTCATAGTGCTATCTAATAGTAAAATGAATAAATCTATTCTTTGAATCAATCTCAACTATGCGGAAAAAAGAGGAACCTTTATTAACTGAATGAAATTTAAGTAATCCAGGCCAAGTGCAGAGGAACATCTAAGTTCTTCTAACTCTACTTTATTCATCGGAAACTTTCAACAATTAAGTTAAGTTATTTCACGAACTAAACTTCCTATTTAGTGGTAACACTGATCACGGGCAGTCCATACAGTACTACTACTGTTTTACCCCCTCCCCTTTTAACACAGTTTTTATCCTCCTTTTGTAGGTATATATTAAACTTAGAGACAGCTTCAACACTACACTGTTTCAACATTAAACCATTTTTCATGATTTTGAAACAAAAAAGTGGGAAAAATTAGACAATACATGTAAAAAGTGTACCCTGATTAGCAATCAAAATTTTCAAGTACATAATTAAACTTACATGGAGGAGAATTGTTGAAACTTCTTATGAAGAACGTTGACCAGCTGTACATCTAGAGGGTTATCTTGTAACTCTTTCTGTAAAAAAAGCAAAAGTTTTTTAGGTAATTGTTAACATTAAAAATCATTCAAATGATAAAAAAGGAGTACATTGACAACTCACTCGTATATCCATAATGCTTACCATACTTACAGCTCCCACCATTTGCAATCAGACTTTACCTTTTCGTAGTTTCAGTGGCTAAGAGTCAATAATGAGCAGTTTTTTCGAACATCCAAGCGTCTAAACGCGTTGCATGCAAATGCAAGTTGCAGATTTAGAAAGACAGATGTTGCAATGTTGTACAAGACCAGTACAGTGCAAGGAATACGTTGAGCTCACTGCTCCAATGAAATCAAATATAAAGATATTCCTGCTCATTTTCGCCACTTGTTGAGATCTGACTCAGCGACAAGCCATGCAAATGTCACTACATATCGTTCAGAGGCCAATTGTATTCTAGATCACGCGAACCTAGAACTGTAGTTTTTTTGAAAAGCCCTGAATTTTTTTTCTGGGTAGCGAGAAAATCGCTATGGTTGCTTCCAATATAAAAATTGTGGAAGCCTTCCACAGTTTACCCCCTAAAAGAGAAAAAAAAGCGTTACCACTTTTTGATGCATTATATGCTTATGTGGCCTTGCTAGGAACACAGGAAAAATCTCCTAAACTTTAAATGCTTGATACAGTTCTCACTAACGCCACATTAAAACCATTCCATAAGATAGCAAACCACCAGAGGATTTGCTGCCAGAACAAGCTCGGAGAGTATTAGTAACATCTAATGAGAGGGACTTTTGGCATATAATAAAGAGACTAACGTCATCAGAAGCGCAAGCCACCACCATTTCTATGACAACAAAGGAAGGCTGCTTCAATAAGTACTGTTTACGTCTGCGGCATGTCGGCGTTTTGAAGAGGCTATTTGATAACGGATACAGACATTTTCAGAAATGAAATGAGATTTTTTCCCAATTTTTAACTATTAATTCTGAGAAATACGGTAAAGTCGCTTAAAATTGTATGTCTCTTTCCAATTTTATAATTGTAGGTTAACCTCACAGCAGATTTGAATAGGTATGAAAATTGACCGACCCTGGGAGGAAAAATGTTGACATTGGTTCTTTCGAAGCTTTTGCTTCTGTTGACGTAGTCTATTCATTCCAGGCCTTTCGTTACTCGCAGTAACAGGAAATAGTAACTAGTAATATGAACACGGAATCTCACCAGGTATTCTGCTTTCATACAATCTAAAGACATTCTGCTCATATTGACGTCTGCAGACAAAAAATCAGGCTAGGTCAAAAAGAAGAAACCTCATAGGAGTGAGAGTGATCTGCAGTCGATGCTGTGCAGAGCTTCCGGGAGCTTCAATCAAGTTTCAAGTATGATGGAGAAGCGCTATCATCTAGTGAGCTGAAAAAGACGCCGTTCGAGCTGCTCAAGAAGGAAGTGGAACTTTTAATAATGGTCAGATATTAGAAACTGCAAAACTCACAAAACATCAACAAATGTTCAAGAGAAAAAACTAAATACTAAGAAAAAAACATAGAAAGAAGTAGAGAACACCGGCTCGTGACTCGACTGTAAGGTTTTGGAGGTTATGTTAGTCAAACCAAAACAAACAAACAAAACATCCCGACGGGACGGTGGCCGAGAGCCGAGAAACTATTAGATTAATTTAAAGTATCTCGTCTAATAAAAATAGTTGTGGAACCTCAACCTCAATAAGTAACTGCAGGTAGTAAAAAGAACAAAGTTCTATAGTGAAATTATTGTAAGTTTTTTGCAGCTTTCATATGAGTCAACTGTCTCATTGTCACTTCACCTAAGTGCGTATCTGCATGTAAGTATCATAATTCGAAATCTTTCGTTTTTTAGTTTTTCCAACTCATAATAACAATATAATCACAATAGAATGATGTACCCAGGAAGGTAAGCGTCTCACTGAGTGTTGTTTTGTAATGATCAAGATTTAACGTAAGTACGAGCAAAATGGGTTCGACAGTTCCTACTATAATTGCATCTTTCACTGTAACTGAGCCCTAGGTAAATTAGTTTTTACAGTGCAAAGCAGTTAGGTCCAATTTTTGGAGACTATCATTGTTTGTTATTTGCGTTGCACACATGATTTTAAATATGTATCGTGAATCATCAATTAGTCTAATCTTTAGTTATTTTTCCATGCCAGTTAGTGTCGCTGATAGCATTGCTTCCCATTATTACCTACCTATTACCAGCTGTGAGATCAATATTGGTAAATGATGATCAATGTTGATAAATCAATCTGCAGCACAGTATTTACCAATACGTTAAAATAGATTATCCTTTCGAACTTCTTATTGTTATTAATGTCTAATAATGGCCAAGATTAGTCATTGTACAGTAAGAAATTAGGGTAGATCAATGCCTAGATGCAGAGAATACTTGTCTATGTAGAGGGCTTTTTTTTATCCGTACTGCAGAGCATTGCTGCGGAACCCATCACTTTTTTATCCTGTTCCACTGGCACATTCCAGTGCGTTCCATCCGTCCCAGTGAAACGCTTGGACCACTCTTCCAAGGTGGGTTCAGGGCACGGTTAGGCTGGTTAAACCGGCCTGAACTGCAAAAAACCCGATCCATCGCGTCCCATGCGTTCCACGGCTGAAAAAAGCCCTTATGGAAGTATGGGCGTCTCTAATAATGTTTTGTTTTCCTTAGGGAAAATGAATTAGAATTTTCCCTTCCAATAGATTCTGAGTGATCTTCTCAGAGCAAGTGAAGAAAATTCACAGGGAATTTCAATAGAGATTCCTGGTTGCTTTCCTTTGGAAGGAAAGAGCATTCATCGACCTCATTTCACCTGGTTTTTCTTTTCTTTTCATATTTTTCTCTGCTGGTTAAAATTTTTCCTCAAGAGGTCGTCCTATTAGTAAACTAAAATTTAAGATGCCTGTAGGAGTTTGACATAGCCATCATGTCATCATTGTACATGAAACTTCACAACGAGTGAAGACCCATCAGAAACCATTGGGTGCTTAGTTTTAGACTCTGTTATCCAGCATTACTTGTAATGATATTCTATCCATAGTGCTTGATGAGTCCTGCTTGATGTATCATATCTGTTTTTGTTTTCAGTCCACCTTTGAGTAATGGCGGAATGCGATGACATTTATAATGAAATCGACAATTTATATGCTTCTGTTCAAGACTTACACCAAGAGTCATTTTCAGATACCGCAGATCCACAGCATCCCCACTTGGTCCCTACTCTGAAACCTTATCAGTGCAAAGCCGTACGATGGATGTTGTCAAGAGAATCAAAAAAAGTAACTATAGGTAAGAAAGTTATGAATCTCATTTCTTTTAGTATAAGGGAAGCTCTAAAAAGATGAAGTTCAAGGCAAAAAATTTCAAAGCATCAAAGATGCTTATGCTTATGCTCAAATGTAGTGGTTGTAGTGCTAGCTCTATGATCGGGAGGTCCCAGGTTTGATGCCAGGTTAGGTAACCCGAGTTAGATGGTCTCAAGCAATGGTTGCCTGGGACCGATTGTTCCGTAGGTATGGAAGGGGACATTAAAAGCGCAGGATCAACCCTTGTAGGATACTTGAAGTAGTAAAAAAAAAAAGAAATGCAGCCAAGACTGGATACTTGAATGGAGGAAAGAGAAGCTACTTAGTTCATTGAACACTTACTGCTATAGTGTCGGAAAGTACCCACTGCCCTCAGGTTGAAGAGCACCCTGCCAGTTACAATATTGTAGAGACAAGTCCTTACCCCCAGCATGTGGACAACATCCGCCTCGTTGTTTTTGTTCCATTGCTAGTGTGTGCAAACCTAAGAGTTGCGAAGATGATGGTTTGTCCATTGTTGTACTATCTGGGCAGGCTTGGTCTTAGTGGTAGCCTACGTGAATGAATGCAAGAGTCGCCAAGATTCTGACAACTGACATCTGATTTGCTCGTGAATATGCTCTATAAATGCTGGTATTTTAAAAAAAAATAAAATTTTCTTGCTAACCGGTCGATCAGAATTTTCAAACCAGTGCACTAAATTGAAGCTGAGAATATGAGGATAAAAATAAATTCAACTCCTTTGCTTTCAGCAATCTTTATTTTCAAAAGAATCATCAGGAAACTGGTGCAATTTGTCAGTGGGTGCACCTATAGAGGTGTATCAGTTTGAGATTATTATAATCCAAAACTCTTCAGTTGGCAGTGGTGTGTAATCCATCATTACAATGTGTTTTCCTTAATCCTGCGACCATTCAAGGCATTTTAATTAGTTGTAAATGAGATCAGTGCTTTCCATGGTGCTCCACTCATCAATTCAAAAATCACCAAATTGCCCAAAAAGGTTTGAATAACCAGCTAAATTTACTTAAATTGGGAGTATCATTTGTAAATGATGTTCTCAAACAATGCAAGGTTCTAGAAATTTGTCTAAAAATGAGTTGAAACAAAGTGCAAAACTGAGCAGATGACTTGTCAAAGCTGCTATTGCTGACACCATTCTGGACGAAAAATTTCATTGTGGCATGGCAGTGGCTTCAGTTCAGTGTCTGATGGACTTGCATTTGAACAACACAGAATTTTGTCTCAGCATTTTGTTAATTGAGCTCAGTAGTAGGAATGCAAATTATTCTAGGCCAGCTTATTTTTCGGAGAGGCTTCCACAATTTTCTTCAGAGCCTTGGGTCTTTCCTGAAAAGTCAACACAATGTCGTGATCAAAATTTGGATATACTTTTACAATGCTGTCAGTTTTTGTATGGAGGTCTATGACAACATTCTTCCTAAACTTTTAAAGTGTTGTCACATTTTTATTCACCCACTTCGTTTTCTTAAAAAGGTTAAATCAGTACCTATAAGTTCTTGGAAATGTAGTTAAGGAGTGGAAGTGTGCTAATATTCTGTGGTTGGTAATGAGACTTGAAGAAAAGAAATGATCCTTTCTCAGCCTGCACAACATTCAGAGCAAGTTCACAATTTGGTTAGAACGGTGCAGTTGTAAACCCTTGCATCGCAGCAACTGATCTTAAACTTCAGTGCTGAAAAGCACTGAGCAAGATTGTGAAAAAATTGAAAAATTCATCTTGGCTGCATAATGGGAAACCTTATCCATTTCTTCTCTGGGTAACCAGGCTGAAGACATCTGAAAAGGACCAGAAAGAAATGGCTGTAAAGAAAATGATTTTTTTTTTTTAAAAAATAAATATCTGTTTTTTTTTGGGGGGGGGGCAGGGGACAGTGGACTTATTGAGCCTTTAGTTGATGGAATGAAAGACAGAGGCTAAGCTACCCTCCCCTCCCCTTGTTTTGCCCATGATCAAATAAATCTGAGTAAGATTTCGAAAACCTTCAGTGAGAAGAATTCACAGGAGCTGTTTTGTTTAGGGTATAAATAGTCTTACAGCTAGCTGTTAACTACCCCTCTCAATATGCATCGTCTTTCTTTACAGATGATATCTTGTCCTCTGGTCCAACTGAATTGCCTACTGGCGGTATCTTAGCAGACGAAATGGGACTAGGAAAGACTGTGGAGGTCATTGCTTGTATGCTTTTGAATCCTCGGACGAGTTTTGATGAGGTGAAGTATCCATTTGTAATTATCAAGTATCTTCAGAAGTATCTCTATGTCTACAGTGACAAACCTAGAGTATGTCTCAGTCACGCTCAAGATGATAAAGAATGCATAGCTATGCAAGTCGCTACTGTTTTCATTAAGAGAGCATACATATGTTGTGCATCGCACCTAGAGGGTAGAGAGGTTCTGAGTCTGCACTACTTGAGGAAAGCTAAGCACAGCGTCTGACGTAACCCTTTCAACCCTCTCAAGAATTTGTATGCAAATTGGACTTCATTTTGCAATAAGGAACTACAATTTCTTGCTTATACATAAAAGCACCTATCTGCCGAGGAAAAAGAATGGCACATAATATGTTGTATCTAGATTGAGCAACAAATTGTAGTTCCTAATTGTGAAAAGTAGTCCAATCTAGAATCTTATTGAATTTAATCATCTTATCTTTCATTTAACATCTTCATCATATCTTTCATATTCTTATCTTTTTCTTATCTTTCTCATTTTTTCACAGTATTTCGTAGAAATGTAATGCCTAAGGTCTCAGATTTTATGCAACTTAAATCTGAATTTCCCCTACTTTTTTCAGAAACTTCGGAGGGGTAGGGGATCTGCCAAATGTTTTTTAATTAATTATGGGGGTTGCACAAGCAGACAAATTTGTTACGTAATATGAATTTACCCCCTAATTATTTTATTTGACTGCCAGCCCAAGGGGGGAGGGGGGCATCGAATCTGAAAGTACAGTGCCAAGACACATGGGGCGGGTGACAACCAAAGGGTCAAGAACAGTCTGCAGGAATGCCATGAATGAAAATGGCTTGTTTTACTGTAGAGGAATCAAATAAGAGTGGATTTTGAGACATCATAATCAATTGTTTATGTGGTTTGTAAGTTTAGCCACCAAATGTATTTGTATGTTTATTGTTGTAGTTAAGCTGCCACAGTGCATTAATTTGTGTATTTATTTTCTTTTGCAGGAACCTGCCTCTGAAACAGAAAACTCTTTTATCAACTCTAGTGATACCTGTCATTCACCAACTGATCTCTCTGCAACAGTCGATGAAAAGTGCAGCCTGTCAAAAACCCACTCTCAGAGAAAGAGAAAGAGTAAAAGCTGGCTAATTGATAGTGAAAGCAATAGTGCAGATGGCATCACTGGAGAAATCTCTGATGCTAAAACTGCACCCAATTTTGCCAACTTTTCTGGGGAAGATAAGCATGATCATCTGCAGCAAGGAATTCCAGAATCTTTTGTAAAGAAAGAAAGTTACAATGAGAAAACAGAGTTGCCCAAAGAAGTTCATTGTATGGAAAATGAACCCTCCAGCCCTTCTAGCACAAATGTTATCACATGTAAAAATGAGCCTTCAAATTCTCCCATTCAAGATGCTCCAGAGGAGTGGTGCTCTCTGCAAAACAAAAAACTTTGCAAGAACAAATCGGATTTTCTTCCTTCAATAGATGCAGTTGTTAAAAAAGAAGTTTTGAACCATAAAGAGTTTGCCTTGAACACAAAAGTGGTGGATTCCTCGGCCAACTCAAGAGCATTTGAAGAATCAAACTTAAAGATTTTGAGCCAAAACGGTTATGATGAAGAAAAAGTACCAAAAGATCAAATAGAAACAGATGAGAAAATGTGTATTGATATGGTGAATCAAGAACCCCAGAAGAAATCTAGAGGATGGAAAAGAAAAAGCATGGATCCATCTCCTACATTGTGTGAGAAGCGCGCCAATATAGAAGCAGACATCGTAGACTCATCTCTTAACAATGAAAATGTTTCCGAAGTGAATCGATCTCGTAAAGGGAAAAAACCAGTGACCCCATCAGTAGATGTATCAGCAAAGAAAAAAAGCACTTCTAAACAAAGAGGCTCTAGCATAAGGGCAGAATTAAATAAATGGTATGAGGAATTGTTGGCAGAAGTGAGGCCCAAAAGTCGCAAGTCTATAGAAGAAACCACTTCTAATTTACACTGTTTTTGTGATAATATAGCAGAGAGTAACATGATCCAATGTGCAGATTGTCAATTTTACCAGCATAAAGCATGTGTAGGTTTTAATGCCAAGAAAATGAAAAAGAAAGACTATCTCTGTCCATCTTGTATTTTGAAAAAGAAACCAATTCCAGCTAAGACAACTTTCATTGTTTCACCAGCTTCTATAGCAGATCAATGGGTTGAAGAGATCGAAAAACACACCAATCCGCCATTGAAAGTTCTGAGGTACGAAGGAGTGCGCACAAGTGGATACATTCAGCCAAGCACAATAGCGGAGTATGATGTTCTTTTAACGACATACGAATCCCTTGCTAAAGAGCTGAATTATGTATCTGGTGATGATGAAAATGCAACGCGTAGTTTACGACATGCCAAACGCTATTTTTCACCTCAATCACCTTTAATTTGTGTACAGTGGTGGCGAGTTTGTCTCGATGAAGCTCAGATGGTGGAAATGTCAAATACGAAACCAAGTTTAATGACAAAACGTCTACATGCTATCCATCGGTGGGCAGTTACTGGCACACCAATTCAGAAAACCGTAGATGATCTCATGGGTCTCATGGAATTTTTAGGCATTGAAGAATTGGCTTCCCTAAGGAAATGGCGAGTTTTGAAAGAAAAACGTGATGAGTTTCTGTACTTTTTGAGTTGTCTTATGTGGAGACACTCCAAACATGAAGTTTTAGATGAATTTGGTGTACCTCCACAGACGGTAAAGAGCGTATGGTTGAAATTTTCAGCTATTGAAAGCCACTTTTATCAGCGACAACATGAGGAATGCTCCGGACAGTTTTTGGCAAAAGTGTCAAAGTATCCATCATTGAATATTCCCTTGCAAACTATTGATCGAAAAGAAGTTAGTCGTATATTACAGCCCCTCCTATCCTTACGACAAGCCTGTTCTCATCCACAAGCTGTTCGGGGAAAATTATTGGCAGGTCGTACAACTATGACGATGACTGACTTACTGGATGTTATGGTAAAGAAAACAGAGAACGAAAGTGAAGAATTTTTGCGGCAGTACATTGCTACACTAAATGGAATGGCTGGAATTAACATAATTATTGATCAGTTAGGTGATGCAGTGGAGCTGTACCGTGAAGTTTTGCAACTTTGTCAGAACTACGAAGGCAGTTTGACTGTGGACACTCTGCAAAAAATCCACACATTGCATAATTTGGCAGAGGTATTAGAATTCAAACCAGAAAACATTGCACCAACACTTCGAGATGCAACAGCCAAAGAAGATGCAGCAAAATTGGAAAAAGAGTACTTAGACAAAAGGAGGGTGGTAATGAAAAACACACAGCAACAAGTCGCAACATTAGCAGCAGATATTGCAACATTATGTGGAGGTTCAACCCTTGGCTTCTCTGAATGGTGGGTTGAAGTCATCGACTGGGCGCCATCATCCAAAGAGCTCATAACACATCTCAAAAGTGCTCTTGCCGAAATATCAGAGAGTTTTATCAGTATAGCTCCTAAAATCTCTTCGAAGGACAGACTAAAAGCAAACCTTGCTATTTGGCTGGCAGAACTAGATAGTTTAAGGATCTCAATTATCGATGCTCTACACTCGTTAGAAGTCACGGCAACCGAAGATCTAGTTCACAAGGCCCTATGTTGTCATTTACGTAAAGCGAGGAGGTCAGCCAAAAGTTGCCCTCTTTGTGAAATTGAGGAAAACCTGCTAGCCTACGAGTCTCTTTTGTTCATGGTAAGCAGTAAAGGTAACAAATCAAATGCTCTGGCTGAAGTCGAGGATGAAGATGATGATGATGATAAAGAAACCTCTGAAGAAGCCCAACCATCCACCTCTAAAGAGTCAAATGCTTTGCAAGCGTTGAAGCAAGTAAAAGTGTTTGAAGTTTCTTGGAAAGGAAGTTGGAAAAACTCTCAATATCTAATTGTATTGACAGAACTATCAAATTTCGCAAGAACCAAAAGTGCCCCAGCTCAATGGCAAAATAGTGCGAAGCAACATCTGAAACTGATGAATAGCCTCAAGCGAGAGTTCAAAACTTTGCGGCTACTCTGGACGCAAAATTCTGAGCTTGTGCAGAGCTGCGATGAATTGGTTATGGCTAAAATGAGACTGAGGCTACGTTTGAAGTCAGATACCCCTCAAAAAAAAGTTAGCAATAAATTAGATCATATTCATATCATTGATCCCAATCAAATACAATTTGAGCTTCATCGGCTAAAAAATGAAAGTAAAGCAGCAGCCGAAAACCTGAAAAAGAAAACTGGAACCCTTTTGTATTTGAGAAATTTACAAAAAGAAAAGAGCGAAGACAAAGTCAACATCTGCCCTATCTGTCGCAGCGAAATGAAAGACAGATGGGTCGTGCTTGTTTGTGGGCACTGTATTTGTTATGAATGCATTCCTACCATGCTGTCCATGTCTACGTCGAAAGAATATGTCGAATGTGCCATTTGCCGCGAGAAAGGTCCAGTTGCAGAGATCTCATATGTGGACTGTCAGCAAAGGGAGGATGACGACAAAGTGATAGGTTCCTTCTCCACAAAAATCACTGGTGTCATTCATTTAGTTAAAACCTTGACATCTGAAGACAGCAGTGTCAAAATTCTAGTCTTCTCATCATGGGAGAAAGTGTTAGACATTCTTCAAGAAGGTTTTGAAAAAAATAGTATCAAATCGCAACGGTTGAAATCAGGACCAAAACATAAAAATAGCATCAAAAACTTCAAAACTATGAAAGATATGAATGTTCTCCTCCTGCAATACCGGTCTGGCTCCAAAGGGTTGAACCTGATCGAAGCAACTCACATTATACTCGTTGAACCAGTCTTGAATCCTTCAGATGAATTGCAGGCAGTGGGTAGAGTACATCGAATGGGGCAAACCAAGTAAGTAATCTTCTCTTACAAGCTTTTGTTCTCTGAGTTTTATTGTAAAGTAATGTTGCGTAGGGCTATTTATTGTTACGACATCTACAGCAGGTTGTGAGTGTGTGCCTCTCCTGACCAGCACAGTGCTGGCAGCACTGTACCAGTGTAGCTAACATGCATTTCAAAACGTTCAAAACCTAGGCACTGTTGTCATCTACACATACGCGCTGACAGCCTATGATACTGCTCCAGGCCGATTATTGAATCTATGTAGATATGATAAGACAAGACAAACCCCTATCTTAATCATGCAATGTATCATCTTTTGGTCGTCTTATCATATTGACATAGATTCTATAATCAAGGCGCAGCAGTGCTTAAGCATGAGGTTCAAACTAAGGTGCTTTTTAAGATGTTGATCATTCCAGCCTTTAAGGGAACTTCAACTGAAAAATCAATGCAGAGGTATTGGCGAAAATTGATTACAGAGTCAGGAACTTGACGTAGAGTGTCAATCAGACCCAAAGAATTAAAACGCCAAATATGGTATCAAGCATAAGTGTGAAGGCTCAGCACCTGAGGTTTTAGATGCATGACTGCTGGATTTGTGCCAGCTGAAGCCGTGCTGGCCATCTTGTGTCAGCATCTTTCTGCACAATTTTAGCATTTTGTTGATACCTAATTGCATGATTTTTTATTAGATTTTGCTATTCCTCCCCTGATGAAAAAAGATATTTCGGTATTTTCATGATAACAGGAATAATCATGTCGTGGATGGTTATGAATGAACCGTGGCAAAACATTTGAAAACCGTGGTGATAAATTGAAATGAATTATATCATTATATTTTAAAATACAGGGTGATCCAAAAGTCCCTTCCACCCCCTCTAACTTTTTACCTAATTGAGGTAAAGATTTGAAACTTGGGGGATATTCCTAGGTCAAAGGGAGCTACTTTTTGGCCCCCCTAAAATTTTCAGGGGGGCCCCCCAACTTTTAATTTTCAAATGAAAAGACCCCCTTTGTGATAGCTCGTTCGAAAGAGCATAAAAAAAGAAAACTTTTCGCGCAAACCCGAAGTCAATATCTCAAACCGTTTCAAAATGGCGGCCGGTTAAAGTTCAAAATGGCCGGAAATTCACACCGGTTATTTGTCGATGGATTTGCGCGAAAATCGGTATGTAGGGGTATTTTGACACGAGAAAAACGAATTTGACTTAGATTTTCAAAAAAACCAAAATTTCCAAAATGGCCGCCGGTTAAAGTTTAAAATGGCCGAAAATTGTCACCTCGGTTTTTTGCTGATGGATTTGCCTAAAACTTGGAATTTGAGAGTATTTTGGCATAAGATAAACAAATTTGAACTTAGATTTCTAAAAAAATCAATTTTTTGTCATTTTGAACTGTAACCGGCGGCCATTTTGGAAATTTCGGTTTTTTTGAAAATCTAAGTCAAATTCGTTTTTCTCGTGTCAAAATACCCCTACATACCGATTTTCGCGCAAATCCATCGACAAATAACCGGTGTGAATTTTCGGCCATTTTGAACTTTAACCGGCCGCCATTTTGAAACGGTTTGAGATATTGACTTCGGGTTTGCGCGAAAAGTTTTCTTTTTTTATGCTTTTTCGAACGAGCTATCACAAAGGGGGTCTTTTCATTTGAAAATTAAAAGTTGGGGGCCGTTGCCCCCCCAAGGGGGGCCCCCTGAAAATTTTAGGGGGGCCAAAAAGTAGCTCCCTTTGACCTAGGAATATCCCCTAAGTTTCAAATCTTTACCTCAATTAGGTAAAAAGTTAGAGGGGGTGGAAGGGACTTTTGGATCACCCTGTATAAAACTTTAAAGACACCCCTGATACGAAATTCAAGATGTGGTAGTTGAAGCACAGAATTATTGATGCTTAAAACTTTTGCTTGGATTCGTTTAAAATGAACGAAAGCTCATGGCTTCTTGGAAAACACTGCAGTCTGGGATGCTGCGTCATTTCATCCCGAGCCTCAATCATTTACATCTGATGTATTGCAAGCCTTAAGTGTCAAGCGTTACATAAGCTAACTGAGGCATCCAAGAATACCTTTGATGGCTGTATTTTTTCTCATCAAAATTTTGTTTTCAGAACTTTACTCCCAATTGAATCAAGTATTCTATCAAGCTCATCAATAGCATTTATTTTCCTTTTCAGACCAACTTTCGTTCATCGATTCGTAATCGAAAACACCATCGAAGAGAAGATGCTGACTGCCGTCAGAGAGAGTGAAATCAACCAGTGGCGGAAAAACCAAGTAACTTTGCAGCAGTTATCAGAATTGTTTTGCTATAACTTTGCGAACTCTAAACTAGAATCTACAGATGGTTCCTCAGTCTAAAGCCCACAGAAGTAAGTTGAAATATAAAATGTCAGATTCAATGTTAAGACTTCAAGTTGCCTTGTCCTCAGGTTGTCTCTTTCACCTACCAACTGAATGTTAATGTAATCTTTTAATGTCTCAAATAGAAGAAGTATGTCTGTTCAGAAGGTTTTATTGGATATTTTAATTTCTGCCTAAGTTTTCCTCGTCAGAAGGGACGCATACTTTTTGATGTCATATAATATGTATATATGTAATTATCCTTTCTCCTTACTCTGCTCATTCTGTGTTCCATTTAAATGTATATTCTAATGCATCTTTTTGTTCAATCTTAGAACTTGATATTAAACATTCGATCGTTAGTGAAGATTAATTTTTTCTCTTGTGCTCTTTTTAATTTCGATTTCATCTCCATTTTTTATTTCTGCAGGGCCTTTTTTCTAGAGAATACATCTTCCCTAGAATTGTCTTGTAAACTTGTCACAGGCCCATTGAAGTTTCTTTTTATTTCTCTCTACCTTTTCTCTCTTTGGAAGGCAGTTAACATTCCATAGCTAGAATCATTAATATGTATACTTTTTTATTCAGTTTCTAGGCATTTAAGTCAACATTAATCATACGTTTAGTGTGTAGGTTAAATTCGGCTGTGCTTCCTTGTAAATATTAGCCTATTTTCAATGTAAGAACAAATTAAGACTAACTATCTTGGTATGTAACTATCTTGCTGGTCCTTTCCTTTTCATATATTTCTTTTCACCCCCAGCCTTTCAGATTGCACAAAGCGCGGCTACTGTTCTTCTAATGTTCCAAAAATAAAAAAAATCCTAGGCAAGGGGTCAATTTTGCAATTGCCTATTTGTCTCTAATTATGCATTCATATCTATAAATTATGTATTAATTTGCTCATGCCCGTATGCCCTGATGTTCTTTGTGTTCTCATGGTTTCTCAACTTAAGGCAGTGCTTACTAAGATAGAAGTCACCTCAAAATGAAGTGTCAAATGAGCAATGTTTATTGCAAGGGAATCAAGTGCATTCTTATTTTAAAGCTACTTACTTTCTTTTTCAATTAATCATTTTTATGTAGATTTCGAGACAATACCCACCTCAAATTACTTATGCTCTTCTTTGTTTCCGCCTTCTTACTTAAAGAAAATGAAAAATGTATACTATCATGCAGTACACTTGTTTGCCCTTTCAATGAACCCTGCTGAGTCATGAAAGGGCACTAATGATTCTCAGGGGAAATCAGGGGTAGATGAGGAGACCTTTTGTACTAGGGTTTATTTTCTTTCCCTCCGCCTATGCTCATTTGTCTTTACACTTCTTTCCAGATTCTTTTCTCCTTTTCCTTCCTCAGAATAGCACACCAGCCTGCAGATTCTCCTAAATCTCTCGGGGGTTACTTGAACATGTCATCCAAAAATTGCCATAACTCAGCAATTTTTTTTTTCAATTCAATTCGGGTCATATTTGGAGCTGATGAAATAATCTGTAAGTTAGCACAACTGTCATTTCTGCAACTTCATAAGTTCGATCATACTAGGATCAAGGGCAAGACTTCTGGAACACCTTTTTGTACATTTATACATAAACCTAATACTACACCTCACCGGTACTTTTACACCTTCTTTTTTTGTATTTCCTTAAGTTTTAATGTACTCTTTTTACCTGCAAAATGTGTGTTTTTTTCTTTATTTCAATAAAGTTCAGTATTTTATATTTTTCAATATTGATGCAATTTTACTTAATAAGGTGGTAAAATGATGCTGGGTCCACACTATTTTGCAGGGAAAACAAGGCCAAAAAGCAAAAATTTCACTTAGAGTATAAAATTTGGAGTCTAATGAGACTGGAGAAATCTAATGAGTGTCGGTACAAAACTGAGGAAGGATAGTACTAAACTCAGGCGGACGCATTGGAATATACAGCTGAGGTCACGTCGAGAGATCTTCAGCGTTTTGGATCTTCATAGACCTAAGCAACATATGACTCTCGTCAGTGAGCCCACCTTAGCATCCTGCAAAATCCAAGATGGCATAGGAATGTCGTCATTAGGGTAACCTTGAATAAAAGCGGGTACTTGCATCGCCAAAAATGGACTATCTGCTTGTCCAGATTGTTCAAAATCACGTATACTTAAATGCGCAATGCTGTTAGTCTGTTTCTCCTCGAATTTCAGACAGTTTTTTTTTTTTTTTTTTTAAGTTATGTCGATTTCATCAGCATTTTGATCTTTGAATTTTGAAAGTTTCAGCGAATTATTATGGTAAATTTTTGAGAAATTTACCTCAGGAATCCCACCAATGCTTCGCTGATGGACTGTTTTTACGCACTTCAAATCGCATGACCATTCAGATAGGGGACTATCCAGCTCAAATAGTTTCTTACATGACGGTTCCAGAATGAATTTCTTGGATAGTCCATTTTTTTTATTGGTTGATCGCTTCTCTGCGTAAGACCGGAATGCCAGTACCCGCCTTTATTCTAGATTACCCTAACCATCGTGAATATAACCCGACGCATGACACAAAAGTTTGATCCTCGTGCCATCTACCGTCGCTTAGTCTTGTACTCCTTAGAGCTCAAAATTTTTGAACCTCTAAGCCTTGTGCCCCCCGCAAAATGGTGAGAACCCAGCACTATTTTACGACCTCGTTCCATACAATTTGGGCCACATTTCTTGGTGTTTTTCTCTCCCTTTCTTGTGTTTTCCATAAAATGTGGAATAAAATTTTCCATTAAGTTTGAGTAATGAAGAAAATGAGTAATGCTTTTAGTCATTTTGTTTTTGTAACAAAGTCTATTTACAAAATTACATAAACTGTGTGGTAACAATAGAAAGTCCGGGTACAAAAAATATTCAATGTTAAAATGTGATGCTTGATCCACTAAGAGCAAAAGAGGTGAGAGGAGTGGGTAGTAAAAAAGGAATTAATCAACAGAAAGAAAAACGGTGTCTACAACGCTTTGAAGTGGTAGCGGATTTTACACTTCACCAATCTTGGGAGATGTCACATCAAAAACTGGTACGAAGAGGCGATAGTTGTGTTAGAGACCTATCCTCTGATAATAATCATTCACTCACTTGAAGGGACTTTTTTTGTCAACCAATTAGCATTTGCAGCAAGTCTGAATGTACATGGCATTCAAGAGTCTCGTCCGGTCATTGGAGAGCAACAGAGGATGTTTTTTTTTATTTGGGCATTGGAACTAAAAGCAAGGTTCAAGATGGTTAATATTCCATCTCACTCTTTTAGTCAACCAATAAATTTGACCCTGAAATTCACCTGTGACTGATTGACAGCTTCATTGATGCATAAGTAGTCTTACACTTTATACAAACAAATTTTTAACATAAATGAAATTGCACCAAGGCCATCATAATAGAAAAATCTAGAAAATTGTGCATTCTGAAGTAAGAATAGTTTGAGGATAAGAGCAGATATTACAATCTAGCTGAAATAAATAACTAACAACTCTTGATCCTCATAAGTGCATAAGATCAAACTAAAAAGCTGTAAAAATAAAGGTATGACATTTAACGTTGGTTGTCTGGCTCGCAGGAAGTTTGTGACAGCCTAGAACATAAGGCTACAGTTAAGAAACGAAGTCAGCTCAAATTTTTTGCAAAGAAGTAACTAATAAACCTACGAATACATTAATATAAGTTAAATAAATTAAAAAAGAGGAAACTTGTGATCGGATATACAAAGCTCATATAAGGATGGGCCGAGAATTTTAAAGCTTAGTTATAGTTACCATTTCTTTCATTTTTTCTGCGAGACTGTTTGGGAATTGAAAAACAGGACCTCATTCTAGGTGCATGATTTTAAGGACAGATTTTAGGAGACTCACTTGGTGGTTTAGTAAATCTAGAATTTAACCCTGGAAAAATTAGCACAAACTGTTTTCTTTCGGTGTAAAGAGTTTTTCGGGTCCCAATAAGACATAAAAAAATATTAAAAAAAATTCAATCCCAAAAGTGGTCAAAATGCTATACTTCAAAGTGGCGTCTGAAGGCGATTTTCAAAAAAGACCTCCAAACGATTCTTCCTATACAATTCAAAAAATATGCATCAAACAAACAAAAAAATGCAAGAGATCAATTTTAAAACTTAAAAGAAGTTTGTAATGATTTGTCTGACATTTGGCCTTCTTTTGAGCTAGATTTACTGGACTGCAGTGACCCATCCCCGTTCAAATATATCCTCACATCGCAAGAATACCTAATAAATTATTTTGAGTAAATTAAAATACATTAATTTCAAACACAGCCTATTTGTAAATTGTAATGGTTCACTGACAGAGTAGAAGTGAAGTTTATTCTTGTAAAAATTTCAGTGATTTATTGGACTGATAGAAAAATTTTTGTTTCAATCTATATGTGACAAAATGTGTTCATTGCAAAGGCACGTTATTAAATAGAATTACAACTGCATGAATTGAGCGGACGGATTAAGATCCAAATAAAAATACCTAATTATTTGCTATTAACTTGAGGAAAACATTTCTTTTGAGGAGAGTGTCCTCAATTATTGATACAATACAGCAGATTAATCTCAGTCTTCAAGTTTTTACTTTAACAAACAGTTTTAATCATAGCTGACGATTGTTCTGAGAAATTGAAGAAAGTACTAGGTTCAATTTTTGAACTGTGTGAATTGAATCATATATTTTCTAACATTTGACTACATGCCAACCATTTAAGTGAGAGAAAATTCTGCTTATTTCATAATGGAAAGGAAAGAGAAACTTATTCTAATGACAAAAATATTACAATATGAGCAAAAGTTAATGGCAGGCAACAAGGTGTAAAAGTTTTTAACTATATGTCACTTACGAGTTACGACTGAACAGAACACTTTGGTGTGTTGAGTCAAAGAAAGTTACTGAGAACGGTCAAATTTTTTTGGGTAAATGTTTTAGCGTTCCAAACCAACTTAACCTGTTGGTTTTTTTACTTAATGACTCTGAAGTATCGGCGTCTTTGTCTGTATCCCCCTCGGTTTTTTTCATCTTTTTTGCTTTCTTAGCCTTCTTTTCCTTCTTTTTTAGAGTTTTGTCTTTGGAGCTGGCATCCCCATCTGTTGATGAGCCTGTAATCAAAAAGAGACACTGGTTAAAAATAAAAAGGTGAAAAATGTATTATACCACTCAAATGAGCCTCAGTAATTGAAATTCCACAGAGCTAGAGCATAGCGTAGAGCATACAGTAACCTAACACAGGGTATGGAGGGTGCAGGAAATGCTAGATATTATGATTTGGTGTCAAAAAGAATCCTCATTAAGGAATCATTCGACAACCTTCACTCTGAGGCTGAAAAGCTAACACTGGAAACTGAGTTAGAAAGAGGATAGTGAGCTTGAAAGTCATGTTTTAAAAGTGTCTCACTTCAGGGGCGTTCTTAGCTAAAGGGCCAAAAGTTTTGTCGCAACTTTTTTTATTTTTTATCATATTCATTTATTTTTTTCTTCCACGGTTTTGCAGTTAAGCCATCGATATGTCAAGCAAACATGAAATTATGAGGTTGTACAAATATTCATATAAGTTGCCTACAAAGCCTAGGTACTTGAAAGTCTTCGAATTATGTATATGTGATTTGAATCCGCTTGTGCAAAAATGGCTGATGTCCAATACAGTGTTTCAGAATTTGAGAGGACAATTTCGTTGTAACTTACAGACACAAGGTGGGTTACGATGTTAGGGATGTTGAACAATTTTATAAAAAATCCCCTGAGTATTACCTGAACGTTCACTAAAGAGATCGATCTTATTCATCAGTGTTGTGGGGCAAAAGAAACCACTTCAATTATGAAACCCTGTATTTGACAACGGACGTTTTTGCATAGCCACTTCATTTGGTGATGAGATTTAAAACCTTTTGGAAGATATGTTTTCTATTTCTAATGAGCAAGGCATAGAAACATATTGCTGAAATTTTGGCCAGCATTGAGCATGCATCATCCCAGAGTTAAAAATAACTTTTCTAACATGTATAAATGCTGCTGGTTTTGAGAAAACTCTTCGCGTCTATTAACAACACAGGCGGAAAATAAGTTTCCTCCGTTTTTCTACTGCAACCGTTTTACCCATCAGATTGGAAAACAAATTAAAAGATTCATTTGTTTACATGCATTCTGAAATTACTTCCACTACTTGCCTAAAGAATAAAGTTCCACAGTTGTATTATTTTTCTGCTCCTCTATTTCTTTCTGCCGATCAACCTCCAAGTTTTCGACGATTTCATTCCTCCTTTCAACAACTTCCACAAGTCTAAAAAAAGAAATAAAAATATGCTTAAACGAAAAAAGAAAAAAGGACTTAAAAGTAGACATGCACTAATCTTGCTCCAGAGCATCTAACTTGTAGTGGATCCTGCTTAAAAGAATCAGGCAGTAAAGTAATGCAGATTTGAGTTCTTGGTTTATAGGTTTGGTCAAAATAGACACCAAATTATCATAAAGGAACATATATTTTTCTTCAAGCATGAAATGTCCTCAAAAAATGAAGAGCATATGAGAAAAGGTTGAATTTATTCTCTTTTTGAGGGCTTAAAACTGGCTCATCCGAGGTACAGAAGTAACTTGAAAAGCATTCAAGGAGCTTTTAGTGTTTTGTCTCTCAAAAGCAATTTTCTCCAAGAGAGGTCTCTCCCAATCAGTGGCTTAATGTTTTCAGAAATTTAAGTCAACCCGAAATGATCAATACATTTTAGAACATCCATGGTAAAAGGAACCTAACTAGGGTTCTTCTTCCCAAGGTGCATGGTGGAGAAATTTTCACGAAGTCAATTTTTGTCAAGTTGAGTAAAAAAATCAGATTTTGAAATTTCTGTGCTTTGGTATCAATAGCTTAGTTTTAAGTTTTGTGGACTAAGGTCCCTTATCTTTTGGCCCGTCATGTTTTGATGGTGCATCTGCAAAAACTTGTATTAAAATTTCTGCTACCCGCGAGTTATGCAACATTTTCTTCAAAATTCTCCCTTAGACAGAGTTTTTGTCTACCTTTTTCTCTGTCCTTTTTTCTGTCTCTTTCTTCATCCCAACTTGTCCAGCATTTTAGACCTTAAGCCGGTGCTTGTATACAATCTGATGCACCATCTCATTTATTTAATATCTTTTTTATCTGTGCACCGGATGGCTGATGCAATGCGACATGACAATTATAGTTTCCAGGCCACAGAGAAGAGACTTTCCTTGGCTTCAGGAACCTTAGTTCACGTTCACCATTTCAGCAACTTAGCTATGAGTACATGTCTTCTCTTAAGCTCTTGCAAGTAATGCTATGATATTTTACCAAGAACAATATTGTAAATCTTTGTAATCTGGCTCTTAAAGTGAATCAAGAGTGTCGTGTTGCCTCAACATATTTCCAGTGTTATTCGTCTAGGTTTGCTCTCCCAAAAATTCACATTAACTTTTTGCTCTCCCAAATTTACTCTTGCTGCTTCAAATGCTGATTACTCAGAGTGCGAAAAATGAAGAAACCCATCTGACAGCTTACAAAGTGGAATCTCATCCCTGTTATCTCCACCGTAACGTGACATGGTGCCTCAAAGCGTATTTCTTCATTAAAACGTGACAAGACGTTAAGTATTTTTCTGATAAAAACTGAAATATGACAGGAAGTCTACAGTGTTGTAAACCATTGAATGCGTTTTTCCAGTTTCACATTTATCTTGTGAAAATAAACAATGATATTAAAGCAGATGGAAATCAACAAATAACACATGAAATAAATATTTGTATGAACAGATGTTATTTAACAGAGAAATCTATTGTCAGGAGATCATCATGAAGTTGAGAGATTTAAAAAAATGCATAGCTAATAAAGAACTACAACAAAGAGATTTCTTTCCCAGAGGGCCTGTGTTCTTCATATTCTCTTATACTCTCTCTGATAATTGCAATTGAAATGCTTACGCACCTTTGAATTAACTGTTCTTCTAGTTCCTTATCAGAATCAGTCTTATTTGCTTCTGGGCATAACATTAAACAACGAATGCTATACTCCAAATCTGCATGTTCTTGCTCAAGATGGTGCTGCCGTCGCAAGTATGTGAGTTCTGATTGCCGTTTTTCGAGCTCGTTCTTTTCATTAACCAATTCAAACAGCTGTGACATCATGTCTTCGACAGCAGGAGCAACGTTTTGATCTGCCGATCGATCACGGATAGACTGCTCCAACTTCACTCCTTGCCTTTCTAATTCTTGTTGCTTGATCTCAATATCTGCCAGTTCTTGCTTGATCTGATCCAGACGAATCGGTTCTCTTACTTGGCGCTTGATTGGTATAGGTCTCTGTGGAGCTGGCCCTTTCTTGCGCTTCCACTGACCGCAAATACTTTTGTGAGGTTCGAAAGCAACATTCTCTGAAACATGAGATAATATTCTTAGTCCTGATTTGCTTTCATACTCGACGACAAAAAGATTTTCTTTCTGGTTTTGTTGAAAAAATTTATTCCAATTCTACGTAGATTTTTGAAGCTATTCTGAAATCGACTTTTGTTTTCCTAGATTTCCTGTCAATTTAGCCAAAAATAGTAGAAACATTCACCAGGAATCTAGATTATTCAAGGAAAATAAAATTCTCCAGAAAAAATGTGCATCATAGAAATAAACAAAAAAATCATTTTTGATTTCAACATCTAAAACTTCATGAGAGAACATGCAGCTTATGCTGCAGCTGAACAAATTTTCTTGTTTGCTCCTACAATGTGGTTTTTTTTGGCCAAAAACCTTCACTTTATCGTAGATGCTACAGGAATAGTCCTTAATTTACAGCAAATCTGTGCAATTCAAATGCCGACCTGGCTTGAGAGTAGTCGAGGTAGTGTCTGAGATTCAAGATTTTTTTTCCCAACTTCAAATCATACACATTTTATGATATATTTATAGAGAAGGTCGCCAAATCAAAATCAAGCAAAGTATCAAAAGATTGAAAATTCAGCAGGGCCTCTCAGGTCTGGTCATAGGAGAACATTGCTACAAATTTTTATGGCGCAGCCCGAGACGACGGTAACAAAAGAAAAACAAGGGGGGGAATTGGGAAACAAGGCTAAAATACAACAATAGAACACCCGAGGCGTTGCGACTCAAAACAGAGTCATTTTCAGTCGGAATAATACAATAAAAATTAAAAAATATCCATGAAAAAACCTGAGACCTACGTGTTGGTCACCAGTAGTTATCAGTTTATTCGTATGTTTTTCTTAGGTTTGGCCACCAACATGTAGGTCTCGGGTTTTTTCATTGATATTCTTAAATTTTTGTTGTATTATTCTGACTGAAACTGATTCAGTTTTGAGTCAAAAAGTCTTGGGTGTTTTATAGTTGTATTTTAGCCTTGTTTCCCGTTTTTCCCACTTGTTTTTCTCTTGTCATAGGAGGAAAAGAATTCAAACCTACAAAAAATTACAGCTTCTCAAGAATAAAATTTTGGAAAAGGATTTTACAACAATGGACCACTAGATAAGGTACGAATTTCAGCATTCTGATACATGTTTCTTAACCAAAATTTTACGTAAAACACGATGCACACAACGAAAATTACCGAAATTAACTCCTTCCGAAGATATTTAATGATTCTTGATGCGTGAATTCAAACCACCCACTCATGAAAACTCAATGCTATACGTGATTCACATCGCGCGCTAAATGTTATCATGACAGTCTCTGCGATATAAAAATCTGGCAACCTCAATCTTGACGCTTTGGCTCAGTTATAGCAAATTGCTAATAGCTTGAACAACACATGGTGGGAAATGAACATTGCTCGATTGAGAAGCTTCCTGAAACCGTTGTAGTGGGCGATTTGACTCACGTAGAGCTTTGAGTTTCTTGTGAGCGGGCAGTTCAAATTCCTCGTAACCAATGTGAAATAAAAACGTTAATATCTTCGTTAGGAGTTGGTTTCAGTAATTTTCGTTGTGTGAATCGTGTTCTATGTGAAATTCTGGTTAAGAAACATGTATCAGATCGCTTAAATTCGTACCTTGTCTAGTGGTCCATTGGAAACTTTCTAACGTGGTCAGTTTTAAAGAAAGATTCAATTATGAAATGTTTACCTGCTCGCTGAAGTCTGTTTGCTGATTCTTTATCAGCTTTGTTCAGTGATTTCGGCGAGCCAGGAGCAGATAGTGAAGAGAGAGATGAGGTGGATGGTGATGTGGGTAACGGTGAAGACGAGTTCGTAGAGACAGGTAACATTGACGGTGGAGGAGGTGCCTGCTTTGATTTTCGATATTTCGGGGACTGAAAAAAGAGAAAAAAAGAAAAATGTATATAACTATAATTGAACAAATTTCCGCAAAAAGCAGGTGGATACAAGCAAAACATGTTTTTTGAGAAGAACACTTTTGAAAATTTACTTTGTTAATATGCATACTCATTTTGCATAAAAGTCATCTCAGAATTTATTTTGCAAACAAATTTAATGTAAAAGCTTGATTTTGCAGCATAAAGGTATTGAACTTGGAAGTTTAGTGAAATGAGATTCACAGTAACTTGTTCAATTTCAAAGATATTTTTGTCTAAATTACAAAAAGAGTAATTTCCTTCATCTACGCCAACTTTCAAATCATTTTAATCGTTTTTGTCATAGTGTTCAGAGCTGCCATAATGCTAGGAGCTTAAGTCACTTTTACAGAAATTCTCCTCAATGAAAAATAGATAACCAGGAGGGAAGGAAAATCCGACTTACCAAAACTGATGGAGGGGGAGGAGCGGGTTTCTTCTTATGCGGAGATAAAGTTGAAGTGGAAACTGTGGATCCAATACTGGTAGTGCTTCCTCGTCTACTAGGCCTGGAAGTGAGAGATTTTGGTGTCAGTGGTGACTCCTCTGGTAGCAATTTCCTACATCAACAAATTTGAAAATTTATATTATCACAAAAAAAAAGAGCTCCTGTCGTTTTAAAAACCAAATGACTGTGAGTTCTTAAGTAGTTGAGCAGAAAGTTGTGCTTTTAACAAAAACTGCACAAGTTAAAATTTTTGAGTTAATGAAGCCCTACCATTTTGCAGATTTTAAGTCCCTCAGTTCTGTAATAGGTAAAAAACATTGAAACCTTTTTTGAATGCTCTTGTTGTTCTACCATACCTTTAAAGATGAGTCACTCAAGATAAAAAAATCATTGAAAAAAAAGACGATCTTTGAAGTTTTCTTTAAATATGAAAATTTTAAAAATAATCAATGAGTGATTGGAAATTTAAAAAAATAAATACATAATTTTTTTGATTCAAAATAGACACCGGGAGATTTATCTAAGCTATTAAAATCATATCATCATTTTTCTCATAATATTTTTACAAAGAAATACTTTGAAGTTAGCAGAATTCTCTAAATGCAGTCTTTTCTAATGGAGAAAAAGTTCAAAGCTTAAGAAACGCAAAGAAAAAGTTTTTTTTTGTACTTTCCTACCTGAAAAGGTTGATTTAGTGGGAGATAGAGGACCAAAGCTAATTTTAATAACTACAGATCTGAGAACCTATTTGCAAAATGCTCGAAATTAGAGCGTATTCAGCTTACAAAATCCTTCAAAATTCTGATAGTTGAAGAGAAATTTCATGTTTAAGTTTCAGAAAATAGCTCTTACCTGGCAAGGGGTGTCGGAGGAGTAGTGACTGTTTCGTCCGAAACCTCATCATCTGAAAGGAAAGGATTGGGTGCAGAGGATTTTGGAATTATTGAAGTTCTTGGTTTGGGTACAGGCATTTGATGATCTTCACCAAGTTCATCTTCCTCTTCAAATTCAGACCCAAAAGGATTTATGCTTTTCCGAAGTGTTTCTGGCTTCGTCTCTGATAATTTTGTCTCTTCTATTTCTTCTTCGTCTGAGTCTCCAAAGGGGTTTAAACCTTTTGGATAGCTCTTTGGTTTTAAAGGAGTTGATGAATTCTTCTCAGAGGAGGCTTCTTTAATTTCTGAAATTGATTCTTTATCAATTTCCTCTATTGCTGAGCAAGATTCACTGTTAAACTGTTGCTCTGAATTGGAAGTTTCATCACATATTGTGTGATTGACTTCTTGGAAAACAAGGGGCGAAATCTTTTCACCGACAATTTCATCTTCTGGTAAAACAACATCTGAGTTGTTACATGTGCTTTCAGAATTAGAATCCTGTACAGTGCTTGTTGCATCGGTTAATTCTTGGTTGGTTGAAACTAAACTATTATCTAACTTACTGCTTACTTCTTTCACATCATTAGCAGTTTCACTATCTAACTTATTGCTAACTTCTTTCACATCATCAGCAGTTTCACTATCACTACAGATGGTGCTGGAGTCTAGTTGAGAATCATTTAAGTTGACCGTCTCAAGACTAAGAATTATATCACTACTATCCTTACTACTGCTATATATGCTATTAATACTATCAATACCTTCATTGTTAGACTGTAAGCTATCATCACTAGATTTTAGCTTAATTTTTTCAAGACTATTAAGATCATCTGTATTATATGATAAATTATGTACACTCACATCTTGAGCAATTGAAGCTGTTTTTGAGCTTTCTTCTAGTTTTTCAGCAAAGCCAGTACCATGTGTTTCATCTGAATCAATTTTATCCCTTAAAACGGGTAAATCAGTGTTGTCAAAGTCATTGGAGGTACATTTGTTTTCTAACAAGTTTGATAAATTTTGTGTCTCCATTTTTGATGACTTATCATGGCTATCTGAAATAATAGTAGGTTGAATATTTGGAACTGGAGTTTGATCAACTTCATCTGTGAGTTCATCTTTCAAACTTATGAAGACATGGTCCAAATCTCCAGTTATGACATCATTTGTCTTTTGTTTGGATGCAGCTTTTGTAGCTTTTGCATCATCAGTCATGCTTGAAATATTAATTTCGTTTCCGGCTAGATTTTCAAACAGCATTTTCCGATGGGAGACTAATGATATTCTTTTGTTTCTATTATTTAAAGCGAGCTGATCATTATCTGTTGATTTTTCATTATCACTAACAGGAACATCAGAGAAATGTTTTTTATGCGTAGGGCTGGCATGACCTCTTTCTGTATCTTTTATCCTATTTCCGTCGATACACTCTTCATCTGGACAAGTTTCACAGACAAATTGAGCATTCTGAGTTTCATAGCAATTGGCCATGCTGAGTTGGGAGTTGCAGCGAGCGCAACGGAAGCAAATTCTGTGGTAGAGGTGACCGTTGATAACTAATCGTTGAGCTATGAACACAGATTGCTCACATTCTCGACAACGGCCTACGCCAGCCCCAATCTGAAACAAGGAAAAGCAAAATAAATAACCAAAACAGAAAACTAACTTAATAAATAAATAAGTTAAAAGATAAAATTGTTTCACTTTGGAAACTTTCTCTTGCGTATTGGTACGGTAAGAAAGGGCAATCTGCAGAAATGTTTCTCCGGACAGAGAAGAATAATAGACAAAATACCAATGCAAAAAGTAAAAGAAAAGCAAAACCCTTTCATGGTTTAGAGTCGTAATACACTAGCACAGCATGGAAAATAACGGAAGAAATTACTTCGAAAAATAAAAGTATTGGTAAAGAAATTAAAAAAGCATACTTCAGACCATATCACACAATTGAAATGATTATTTGAAGAAAGGTAAGCCCACCTAATTTTCAGAAATCGAGTTTTCGACGAGTACCATTAGTTGAGGGTATATAGATGCTTCTTACTACCTAGCAATTCTACGGAAATTGCTCTTCAATCGGGGTTTTTTTTTTTTTTTTTTTAAATAATCTAACATCTAATTCTGTGGAAGCAAAGGGCGTAAGTTCTGAGCCACCTCTCCTAGCGTAGCGTAGGGTGCTTCTACATCATAAAATCCATGACTAAGGGCACAAACTATAATTTTTAAAATCGTCATCGAACATGCATGCTATTACCTATACTGTCATCATACTGCTAAAATAGCAGCCCTGAGAGGTTTTTGGGAAGAAGGGTGTATCCACCAAAATTTTAAAATTTTGTATTTCTTGCTTAATTTCTCAGACTCTGCTCGTGATACCGTGATCTTATTACAAATGGTATGTATGTAGAAAATTTGTTAATTTTTTTGAACTTAAATATGAAGAATTGTCGGAAAAATAATGTTGTTTCATGCTTTCTCGAAACTTGACTTTTGGCTGTTACGCCCTTTATCAGATAACCCGTTCAATTATCTACTGTAAACAGAACGGAAAAATTTCAGTTCTACAACTGGAAATAATACATCCACTAAGATAAAAGTCAGTTAAGTTAATATGTTAGGTTGAATGCATTAAAATTAAGGAAGTAAAAAAAAAAAAACAGTCAAATTTATTACTCAAAGATAATTTTGACAGAAGTAATATGTCTTTAAAACCACCGAACAGTTCCTTGAAAAAAATTCATCATTTGGTCATGTCTACCTCCTTTTGTCGATCTACCTCCAGATTTAAGTTTTCACGAAAATTCCCTGTTATTCCAAAATTCTCCGATTTTTCCCTAAATTATCCCGGTTTTTCCCGAGAGTGGTAACCCTGGTTGTTTGTAAGGGCTCTGATAATTCGGAAGGGACATCGAGGCATATGACTATTGCTGGTCCACTCAAGTCACGGTTGCCAAATAGTGCTGAAAAATCAGCATTTTTAACATTGAATCTTCCTGGAATAATCATCAGCAAAATCTGTTATGACTCGACTGTGCGCGGTGCAATGCGACGCACAGTGGATAGAGTCAATTAGAGCAGTCGGACATGAACTTTTTGACTGCACCTGCAAATTTTGATATTTATTTCGTTTTATTTTAAATTCCAAGGGTTGCTTGAAGGGGAAAATTTCACGAGGAAACCAATGGGACCATTTTTAGAACCTCGAAGTTTTATATAAGCGGAGTTTCCGCGTTTAAAGTTTCCAAATTTTGTCCGACCTCTCTTATTGACTCGATCCGTTGTGCGGCGGTGCAGCGATGGATTAGTCAGCCGCTGCAGTGCGCTGTCACGATGACGTCAAAAGGGCCTTATAACATATCGAGGTTCTACTGGGAGATGAGAGCGAAAGCGTCGTGGGCGGGTATAGCAATGCTGAAGGCGTGAAGGTGAACAAAAACACGTTTCGTGATACGCGGTGTCGCGACTTTCTCACCGAACATTTTCATTATCGATTGGCAGATAATTCGAGTACGGTGTAACAAATTCATTGTGTCTTTTTACGAGCGAAGGAACGTAAGTCCATTCAAAGGTTGCAGAATCGACTTAAACAATTAAATTTTTCACAAGAGTGTACTTGTGCAATTTTCGTTCAAAATTTCTCCGATTTTTGCATGAGATCAGCAGAAAAATCAGTGAAATTTTCAGAGATAAATGCCCCAGATTCTCCTGGTAAAAATGCAATTCACGAAGGGAAATTCGACTTCATTGAAATGTACTTACGTTCTTTCGTGGGGGGGGGGGGGGATTTTCATAAGTTGCGGTATGTTGATACTAGGTGCTCTCGGATACATCCAGGCAAAAATTCGGGGTTGTTTTTCATGGAAAAAAGGATTGGTAAAATTAGGATGTACCTAAAGAGATGTTGATAGATAATTTGGCATAAGTCAATTAAAAGACTAAGGGCCGGTTCTATCCTGCCGTACTAAGGATAAACGCCGTATGAGCTTTCAGCCGTTGCCAAATTTCCTCTGGCAAATCACTAATTTTGAGGAAAATTTTTGAATATTTGTCTGCCAATTTCTCAGATAATTTTGTTTGTAATTTGATCTAAAACTCCTGAAAATATCAAGGAAGGATATTCAACATTTTCCTCAAAAATAGACATTTTCTCGAAGGAAATTTGGCAACTATCGAATGTTCATACGGCGTTCTTCCTTAGCACGGCAGTAGGTATCGCTCCTGCGGGTTGATTGTTGAATCGTTATCGAATGATCCTTATCGATAAATCCCTAACTTAGCAATGCTATTTATCGAAGGTCATTCGATAACGATTCAACAATCGGCCCGGTGGTCATTTCGGACTCTAGAATTTTGCAGAGGCGATCAATAAATCGAAATTTGACGTCAATAACCGACATTTCTTTCATATCCGTGCAAAAACCCTTCGCTAAACCATCGCTTCCATCATCCAGGCAGAGTTATCAACATAAAATTTACGGGCCTCCTCCTCTTGTGTTGATACTGTTGATAGAACATAGGAATTTTTCAAAATTTTGGCCTGGGTGCGAATTGGCAAGATTCAGCATCTCTGGCCACGCCGTTGAGATGGAAACAGAGTTGCAAATGGTGCCTGCTCTCTGATGATAGAGAGCGTCGCTGATCTGTATACGGGCGAACTTTACGCCTGAAGTTTACTGAAGATCTGCGAAGCGTGGTTTGCATGTTGTTTGACGCTTTCTGATTTCAGTGAAATCAAACGCGCGGTGCATTTTAGCAGAACTTTCAAACTTGAGTGAATAGAGCTATGTGTAATACGTGCCCGTATGAATGTTAATTCATATTCTTAAAATCGACTCAGATGGATACTACACGTAATAAGGCGGGTAAGTTTACCCTCCGAAGGAAGAGCGCCGTTACAACACTCTAGAATTTTGTAATTTTTTTTCCAACTGCTCGATCATACCTATATAATAATCATACATTGCTTATATATGTTGAGCAATACTTCTCAACAAGATCTGCTGGCATCAATTATTGAATCAAGAGAAATGAGAAACAACTCAGGGGTGCAGAATATTCCAAGCTTCCACATTTTCATGCGCCGCCAGCCGGCTTTCCTCATTTTTTTCATTAGTTTTCCACAAAATTCCCCACCATTCTAAAAAAGATGACGTTTCTTCTGTTTTCCTTTGATTTTCGACTTTTGGCCCCTCAAAATGTTCCCTCTTTCAACATTTTTGGGGCTTTTCCACATATTCACGCGTCCGCCCAAGCGCATGATCGGGAATTTTCTGCACCCCTGAAACAACTTAGTTTTTCAATTATTCGGAGCACGAAGTCTTACTAAGTATTTTTATTGATTGATTATAATTTAATTGGGTTATGAATGTATAAGTCAGAGGATAGAGGCAGATATGCATAAGCATAGTCGGATCCAGGGGGGGGGAGAACGGCGTAGGGGGTGCACGCCCCCCTCCCGTCCCGCCCAAAAAAAGGAGGAAGAAAAAGGGAACAAAGGGAAGGAACGGAGGAAAGAAGGAGGAAGGATACTTGGACTTGGATTTGGTTGTTATTCATGACGAAATTGTTCTTGGTGGGACGACATATACTGTGTCACGAAATAAAAATGTAAATTGCTATGAACTGTTGCTCCGTGAAAAGCACGGAGAAAGAAAATAAATTAAAATTAAACTATGACTACTGCAAAACACTATATTATAGGTACGTAGAATGAAACTGTGCAAAATACGCCATGCTTTTCTAAAACTACAAGCTATTACAAATCTACCGGCACAGAGAGAGAGAGAGGGGCAAATACGGAGAGAGATGAAACGGCAATTTTTGGTTAGAGAGGCAAACACTCTGAAAAAGTCACACTTGAAAGGCACCTGCACTTACTAATTTTACTAGCTTCATGAGGTTTTCCGATTATGAGAAGAGTTCCACAGATGGTGCTGGAGGTAACCGAGTATGGAATCGGAGTATCTTGGGTTTCTAACAGCCCAGTGCCCACGTGCAAGTGAAAACTTCATTCGCAATCAAAGACCAGAATTTGGTTGTCTTTCGGAGCGGTTTACACTCCCTGAGTCATTCTTCGCAATTGATTGGTGTCGATATCCTCTCTATTCTAATTAATCATTTTTAAGACGCTCGATGGGCTGGAACGAGGAAGGGGAGTTCAAGTCCGTAAGTGGGTTGATTGAGGTTTATTCTTTAATTCTTAATGATACTGTGGTTTTTCTTGTTTGACATTTCGCTGGCCACGAAACGGACTTTTGAAGGCACGCAGCGCCCCGGGGGTTGGACCGCGTAGTGGCCAGGGGGCGGACCCCTAGTTATCCGACTATTACTTCCACCTAATGACGCTTCCTAACGTTCCACTTAGTCTTCTTCAAATACAGTGAACACCAAGTTTTCAGATCTGTTATCTCTCGCTATATAATATTTATGAACAAAATTGAGATAAAGAGCTCACGTAACATAAGTGCAGAGACAAAAAGGTCTACAAAAATATTTCCAGCAATAGGAAGTGTGAAACAGTGTAAAACAAGAGTTGTCTTCATGGAAACTAACTTCTCTTACAAGCAGCAGTATGCACTTTCAACTGATCATAACTAGCAAGAGTCATACGGAGAGCAATTCGATTCGTAGATCTGTCAACATAAGTACCTAAATCTTATTTATCGATCACTTCACTTGAAGTCACTCGCATTAGCCATCATTTGGCGCGTGTATGCGGTTTATTCCCGGACATAACGTTGACGTTGAACAAAGCCGATTGTGCGCCATTTTCTGAATATTTTGCCACTTAAGGTTTTCTTTCTTTTTTTTCTCTCGTTAACACCGCATCACAACACACATTGATAAAAATTCCAGGTTAACTATAGGGATTTGATTTTTATCGCGACAGTCGAAAATAGAGACAGCGTCAACGATACGAGTGCGAAAACTGCACTGACGCGTAAGAATAGAACGCGAAGGCAAAGAATTGAGATGATGCCAATAATAGAGGGACTTTCATTGGCGTACACGGAGTGCGCGAATCGCACGACACTTGCGCGAGCTTAGCAGATTGATGCTTGATTAGACCGCGCGCCGCACGGAGAGTGATCTCTCGACTTGAATGAGAATGAGTACTTATTTCGCGGGTATCATTGCCTCGTAAACGTGAAATAAGTTCAATTTTTAAGCCGAGTCTCTGTGATAACCAAATTGCTTATTTTATTAAAAATATATTTACACTCATTTTCCGCTAACTCGATAGGGATTATTTTACGCACATCTTCACAGGACTATGAGACGATATCAGGGTTGCCATAATTTATTCATATTCGAATTCCCTGACTTCAACATGTTCTAATCCCCGATCGTTGCCTTGTAAACGTGAAATAAGTTCAATCTTTAAGCCGAGTCGCTGTGTTAACCAAGTTGCTTATTATATTAAAAATATATTTACACTCATTTTCCGCTAACTCGATTAGGATTTTACGCATATCTTCGCAGGACAATGAGACGATATCAGGGTTGCCATAATTTATTCATATTCGAATTCCCTGACTTTTTTTGCTTTCCCCTGACTTCAACATGTTCTAATCCCCGACTTCAAAATGTTCCAACTCCCCGACTTTCCCTGCCCTTCGAAAAAAATGTCCGCCCTTTTTTTCTCTATTAGATACGCTGACAGACACCGCTGACAATAGCAAAAGTTCAAGTTCAAAAATTTTTCAAGTGTGAGGCACAAAACAGGTGTCAGAACCGATTAGATGCGCCTACTGTTGTGATTTGAATGTTCACGACGATACAAGCAAATGAGACCTCATTATAGCTACATATAGCTCATTATAGCTTTGAAGCATCTGCACATTAAATCTATCATCCTGTTTCATCCTCGGAGCTCCTTAAAGTCTATGATGGCTGAGCCAATCACAGGAGGATCCTCCAGTGATCATACTCTGTCTATAAAGGCACTCTAATTTGCGATGGGTAATTGGGTGATGAGTTACTTAAATAGGACAGGTGAGATAAACAGGTGATAAAAGGAAGTACATCTCAAAGATTACAGGCAGGAGGCACTTATTCTAAACGAGAGCATTCCCACTTCTGTCAATATCTACCTGTATGCATCTATCTCCGCATATCTATCTGTTTATAATTGCTAATTATTGAGTAAGTTTCTCCTATAATCCCCGTATTTTCATGTATTTTTAAGAGTTGTTCATTGAAGTTTTTGTGATGAATTTTAACTGCTTCTAACTAACGCATTCTATGCTTTTCTTCTGCACTGTCTCTTTATACATTAGACGGTTTCCCTTCGAGATGTTCAACGATGTTCCTGAGTAATTATAGTGGTTTTCGAGGTGATGACCATTTCACTCGATATCACTTCCCTTCGGCAGGTGATACGTCATAGCTAGGATATTATGTTCGCAAAATATACTCAAAATTAACCGAGGCAGGACGACTGCCTAAAAGGCATCTACCTTCAGGTCCCTATCCCAAGTTCGTGAGAGAAAAGGAAGGGGGAAGTTTTGGTGCGAGTTGGAATATTATTATCACTCGGTTGATCCACTTTACCGGCACCCTTATTATCAGGTTGATATTAGATTTTTCTTACCAATTTTCAATGGTAAGAAAATCGGTAAGAAAAAGTTCATATCAACCTGGAAGTATTATTACACTTTCTTGAAAGGAAACAAAATTGCGAGCTCTACCTAAAGTCAATGGTATTGAACCTTTAGAAGCACGTTCCCAAAAACGTTAACCAGTTATTCCAATTTGAATACATTTTTTGATCTTATGGAAGCAACTCATGAGATCCTATTAACTCGAGGGAATGGATAAAGTGTCATTCAAATTAAAAACTAGAGCATGTAGAAGTAAGCGCCAACCACTGCTCTTAACTATCGAGCATTTTCGACGTATATACAGACCATTTGATTCCTCGTCACAAAATGAGACATTTGCATGGGAGATTTTTATCTTTAATGTTTACGATGAGAGCGTGCATAACGTTCAGATGATAAAAGTGTTTCTTAAGAAAAAAATAATTTCTACTGTGCCAGATGAACACTTAAAATGTGAGAAGAGACTTGGAATATGAAAAGACTTTCATAGGCAGCCAAATTAAGTGCGTGTTGCGTGAAGCCTGATGCAAAAAGAAGGTTAAGAAGAAAAATTTTAACATTCTGATCCTTCCAACTACCAAAAATTGACCCGGTTAAAGAGGTGCAAGAACAAAAGAAAGTTGGAGAAAATTATGATCATGCAAGCAAACAGTAAAGCCAGGCTTTTTCTTCTTCTTCTTTTAAAATAAATTTACCTTTTAGCAGAAAATTTCAGGTTTGTATTGGCCCATGAGGTCTAAGCTTTCCTCCTAAAGACAAAAAAACCAACAAACACATTAGATTCAGGCTTGTGTGGGCGAGAGTGAACTTGACATTGAGTCACGTTAACTTATCGATGCGACCCAGTGGCGTGGCGTGCTTTGCGATACATCGATTGATCTGCCATTTAAACCTATGGAAAAGGATCGATAAACAAAGTGTTCGCAGCGAACACCTTGATAATCGATTCTTTACCATAGCTTCAATGGGGGAAATATCGATTATCGATCATTCACGCCTCGCCACTGATGCGACCCATGCTTTAATTTCCGACGTGAAGAAATTTCAACGTTTAAAAATTACCGTTCCATATGTATCAATCGACTGAAGTAGGTTCACTTATTTTCAGATGATTCGCTCAAGTGAAAAATATGAATATATAATTGATAATGATGAAATGAGACTAATTTCGAGATGCCGACGAAATGGAAACAGTTCGTGACGTTAGTACTAGAATCAGACTTTCGTCACAGGTCGTCCGGGCGACGAAGCAACGACGCGTCGGCCGCGGAGCAGGAGCCAAATGCGATCGATCGAAATCGCAACAAAACAATTTGAACATTCTAAGGGGTGATCCATCCAGACGGGGGTGCAAAAAGTGCCATTCAGCCGAACGTTTCACGCAATCCGGGATTTTTCCAGTGGCGATGCGTCAATGATCGATTTTCGATACTTCCCCATAGGAAACTATGGTAGAGAATTGATTACAAAGGTGTTCGTTACGCGAACACCCTGTTTATCGATCCTTTTCCACACGCTTAAATGGCACATCGATCGATATATCGCAAAGCACGCCACGCCACTGGATTTTTTCCTTCTTCAGTATCGAAAGTTTCACCCTCCCTCCCTGATTATTTAAGTGATGACCCTTTGAGGGGGGAGGGGGTGGCTCTTCACTCTTGAAATTTAGCTAAAAAAAAGTCGAACAGGTATAAAAATCGTCGGATGCCTCTCGAAAAAATTTTTCGGTGCCGTTTTAGAAAAGAGTTTCCTCGCCAATCACACGATCCCCATAAAAAATTGTACAATAAAACTACTTGTAAACCGTAAGTCATCATGATAACAAAGACAGATATAAGTGGCGATTCTTGAAGTTGGCAAGACTGTTTTTCCTCCATTTTAATATATGTAAAACGATCGATTCTTGGTAACGCAGCTTGCCGTATCTAAAGTCGATATTTTTAATTTATTTAAAGTATTGGCAACTCGCAAAATCGCTACTGAAAGTACATAGGCTGTCCCAAAACAACTGAGAGTAAGTCTGTATTTCAGAAACAATAATAGATATTGAAACGCGGTTTGTGGGAGGTNTGAATTCACGCATCAAGAATCATTAAATAGCTTCGTCAGGAGTTGATTTGGGTAATTTTCGTTGTGCGTATCGTGTTCTACGTGAAATTTTGGTTGAGAAACATGTATCAGAATGCTGAAGTTCGTACCTTGTCTAGTGGTCCTTTCTCCATTTGAAGCTATGGTAAAGAATCGAATATTAAGGTGTTCGTTACGCGAACACCCTGTTTATCGATCCTTTTCCACAAGCTTAAATGGCAGATCGATCGATATATCGCAAAGCACGCCACGCCGACGTGCAATCACGCGATCCCCGATAGAAAATTTTACGATAAAACCAATTTTAAACCTCAAGTCATCATAAAAACAAAGACAGATATTAGTGGCGATTCTTGAAGTTGGCAAGATTGTTTTTCCTCCATTTAAATATATGTAAAACGATCGATTAGTGGTGGCGCAGCTTGCCGCATCTAAAATCGATATTTTCAATTGATTTAAATAGAGGAAAAACAGTATTGACAACTCGCAAAATAGCTACTGAAATTATGAGCATTAAAAGTTCCCACGCCTCAACCTCTTGTGCGACGCGCGGCGTAATTGTTCAAGGCACACCAAGAATAAATTGAAGGGAGTGGCTTAATGGATTTAGATACTTTAAGTGAATAATGGCATTCGATATAATATCGAATTATCGATCGTTCAGTGGTTCAAACCAAAACAAATAACATAACTTTATTGAGCATATCACCAGTACTAGTGCCATTAGCGTATTTCTCGCGAAATTTTGCAGAAGAAAAAGTAACAATGCAAATCCCTGACGCACGCAAGAGCTCCGTTACCTCTTTGAATAGACTGATTTGGTGACTGCGTCATTCAATACGAGTTCGAACTCTTGGTTCAAACCAAAACAAACTAACATAACCTTATGTGCGGATTCTTCATGAGTTAAATGTGTTAATTTCTTAAAATTTAGTCATTGACCGGTCATAAATCAATTAAAGATTCATTAAACACGAGAACTTTCGATTGTAAAAAACACTTGGACGCATTTTACCACCATGGTGCAAAGGGCGCGAATAAGCGCAAATCAGAAACAGGGTTCTGAGTTTGTTTACATTTGAACCAAGGGTTTGATATTACATCGAATGACGTAGCCACTAAATCCGACTATTATGGATACAATGGAAAGTCGCGAGGAATTTTTGTAGGGTAGTTGTAGAGTAGATTTCTCTATACTTGAAGTTCATGAAAAAAACCCGAAAATAGAGTATTAAAAAAGTTCGCATGCCACGCTCACACCCAAAAATTTAATTGAAATTGCGTTTTTCAGCCTTCAAAGAAACTACCGTGTTCTTCCATTCAGTTTTGTTGTGTATTTCTTTTGGCGCTGTTGCATTCACATCACCTCGGGATAATCTTGACATCTTTATCAACCACGGAAGTCCTGATCTGATGGCATTTCCTTTCCTGGCAACCAGACTTCCTTTTCACGAGACTAACTTGAAAATTCTAGAATTATTATGATGGCTACGTTAGGAGCTTTCAACTCATCCATCTGTCTAAATCATAACATTGCTTTCCGCCTAATCGTCTCCCTTTCATTTCGTTTCATCCATGGTCGGATGTAGGCCCCACTGGGATATAAGTTATTAAACCAACAAAGAAAAAAAAAACAACTTAAAGGAAAATTTGACTTTTAACGCACGGCACATGTGTGGTTATGTTGTTATTCATAGTTGAAACCACTAGACGATCGCGGGTAGTTGGATATTATCTAGAATAACAAAGCTACTGTAAGAGTGGATAGAGATAGTATGGATTAGTCACTAAATTCTAGAATTATAATGATGGATTCGTTAAAAGCTTCCGACTCATCCATCTGTCTAAATCATAACATTGCTTTCCACCTAATCGTCTCCCTTTCACTTCATCTTGTCTATAGTCGGATGTAAGCCCCACTGGGATAACCAACAAAGAAAAAAAAAACTTAAAAGAAAATTTGTCACTTGACGCACGGCACATGTGTGGTTATGTTGTTTTTTGCACTAGACGATCGTGGGTAGTTGGATATTATCTAGAATGACATAGCCACCGTAAGAGTGGATAGAGATAGTATGGATTAGTCACTAGCTTACCACATATTATCACTAGCGTTCGGTCGCGCCGCGATTGACGTGTGACATTGGAAGGGCGTAGCGTTATTTAGCGACTGTCGAGTTGTTGGAAGAAAGCTCGCGAAGAAACTAAACTGGAGAAGGCGAGTTAAAGCTGGAAGCTCGCGCCCAGCGCCTCAGACCCGGGACCCGGAGCCCCGACCACGTCACGGAGTTGATTCCCATTCACGATTCACGGCACGACTGGGAGGCGGCGCGGGGCGGCGAGGCGGGGGCATCGACGACGATCGACTTCGGCACGAAAATGAATCACCGGCACCGGCCTAACATTAACACATTAACGCCCGTCGGGCTGCAGCCTGGCCTAGCCGCCTGTGCGGAGCTTTGCAGGACGTTGTTGCCGGGAGGAAACCCCGAAACCGCTCCTAGAAAAACCTGGGATTTTTTAAAAAATACCGGAATTTCTTTATAAATCACAAGTTTGTCGAAAACAAATTCAGGAGATTTCTGAAATAAACAGTAATTTTTCATTTTTATACGGATACAAGGTGTCTATTTTTTTTTTCCCCCATTTTGGGAAATCCCGATGCAATCCTGATTTTTCCTGATTTTGATCAAATCCTGATTTTTTGCGGGGAAAAATTAACGGACAAACAATGGACAATTAACGGAAAATAAGCGGACAACCGACTATTCTCAAATCTTGATTTTACGACCGATTTTTTCTCAAATCTTCGTTGACCTCAAATCCTAATAGAATCGAAAAAATCGGGTAAATCCTGATGCAAAACACCCTGAATTATTAACGGTAAACAATGTTTGTATACGGGTATCATAAAAAGGTACCTGAATATGCAATCATATTTTCACACAAATACGCCCGAATTTCACCTTCAAAGCGACCAATGGAGATGAATGATTTGCAAAAAAAAAAAATTGTGTTGCTTCATCTAAGAGTGCTTAATTAACTGAGTTCGCAGTATTATTCATGATTTTTACCGATATGGGAAATTGCAGGAAAATATATTTAAAATTGAGAAAATGTACAGTCTTGTGACGTTATCTGGCGGCATTTTCCATTTTAACACATGTATTTTGCAAATTCGGTTATTTCGTCATATATCTCTTCTAAGTTCTTGTTGCCAAGTTTTGTCAAGTTCTAATTACGATATTTTTAAAGCAAATTTGTAGAGAAAAAAAAAAATCTGGCTGTAAAAGGAAAGAAAATTAGTGAGTTTTCTTCCCTAAATGCATCATATTCTCCGGGTAACTTCGTCTTAACAATTTTCGCACTCTCTCAAATATTAACACTTTTCGCGAAAACTAAACGTTTTGAGGATACGCGATGTACTCTTGACATTGAGAATATTGGCGATTAAGATTTCCGTGAACTTGCAACTATTGTAAGCGCAAGACGTGGCAACTTTAGCCAGCGAGGGTGACCGTGAATTACGGGCCGATAACGACCGCCCTATTGACACGGGCAGTGCGGCGACTGAGCGCATACAGACGCTTGGGTCATTGTTTACGAACGCACACTGGAGAAATCTCGACGATTTTTCAGCAGTAGTTGGGTACTACGTCTATTCCGTGAGAGCATTTGAACTTTCGATCCGGCATAGCGTGGGCCTTGGTGACGTCATTCAAAACTGACAATCACAATGATAATGATGAGGATTTGACTCGATGCGCCAGATATCGGTCTGCAAATGTTGACCTTAATGGTCATCAGCGCTGCCAGTCGGAGATTCATAAATTGGTAATTGAAACTCATTAATTAGCAAAAATAATGAGAACATACGAAATTCCGGATTTTGACGTCTCGAACGGTTAGAGACTGTCCATGAAGTGCGTGACGCTCTACAATGTGGGTGGGTCTTCATTATTTTGTGACCGAGCGCGACAAGGGGTGGGAGGGTGTTAAGTTCAGCGTTACATACCAGTGTCACCTAGTCGTAGGGCTGAAAATCTGCCGTGCTAAGGAGAAACGCCGTAAGAACATTTGAAAGTTGCCAAATTTCCTCCGAAAAAAATTTTCATTCCTGAGAAAATTTATGAATATCATCCCTTAAAATCATTAGGAGCTTCAGGTGAAATTGCGTACACAATTATCTAAAAAATCGAAAGGAAAAAATTCATAATTTTACCAGGAATTCGTGTTTTCTAAATGGAAATTCGGCAACGCATGAAGGTTCATACGGCGTTTTTCCTTAGCACGGCAGAAATGGGCTGTTGCAGCCTCGGGAGCAAATTAACACTCGGATACTTTTACGACGCAGGTTTAGGGAACAAACGTAAGACAATTTTTAGACTCTTTCATTTCGGTTCTCTTGATCTTCATGTGTTACGCGAGATCAACGATTTTTGAGATAAATAAGGTTTCTGCTCGAAAGTCGGCGGTCGGAGTCCCCTGACTCCTTTTTTCCACAATGACAGCGTTAGCACGGGGTAGATTGGTAACGACTTTTAATGTGTTTAGCAAGGAGGCAAAACTAACACTTGTACTCACAGAAAACCTTTATTATGCAGTTTTTCCATGACACCATACAAACGATTCCTCGATTGACCGTTCTGTGGGTAAAATAGCCGGCGAGCCGCGCCGCGCGCCCATCAGAAGTAATTGAGGATGAATTGAAGCGGGCATCAGCGCAATCATGCTTTAAAATTGGCTCTTGCAAGTAGTGCACACAGAGTTGCCCACACTGTCACTTTTCCGGTCCGTAAAATAACTTAACTTGAGGAGATAAGTCCCACTAAATTATAAGTATGATGATGAAATAGCTTCGGCCTACGAGTCAGGGCTTGAGCTGAGCTTTGATGAACTTGCGTTCAGCAACTTTTAATTGTTGCGATTTTGAAAAGAAACCAGTGAACATGGTTCACAGAAATTTTACCGGACTTTGAAAGATGTGAGCCCACGAAAAAAGAGTTCAAAGCTGATTAATTTTAGCTCCCGCACTAAAAAACGCATCGCTGATGAAACCAAGATGGCGTCCGAAAATATCCTCCTCGTCGCGTCGCGGGAACCGTTTCCACCGCGCACCCCTCTGCCTCGACCCTTAGCCCCTGCAGTCGGAAAGATATGGTAACAGGTACGCGGATCATAAATTGCGGCAGAAACGTCGCGCACGGTTGCCAGAATGTGTGAAAAACCATAGATATTTTACATGGAGCTAAACGGGGATATGTGCTGATTTTCAGCACAATCTGGCAACAATGGCTCGCATAGTCGGAACGTTACTCGCGACAGGGTGGATACTGGACAGTATGCCATAATGGCTTTCTCGGTGACGCTCGTTTGGATGGGAGCTTAAAACACGCAACTCTGAATCGTTCCTCCTTGGTTAATATTGTCCAAAACAGTACGGAATTCCTGTGCACTTAGTGCATTCTTAACTGTTCAGAGATGCAAGAATAAAAAATTACCATACAAGCGCATTTCGGAGAAAAGAAGCTTTTTGAGGGAGACCACACGGCCCCGCACTAGCAAAATGAGTCAACTTTTTTTTTTTCTTGTTCTTCTTCTTTTTTTCTTTTTTTTCCCACTAAGAATGGAACTTCAAGAAACACACATGAGGCTAGAGCAAAGCTCAGTAAGCTGAATTAAAGTTCTTAAATTATGTAAGTATGCTGGGTAAAGGTGACATAAAAGTTAGCAAATGCAATGCAGCATGAAAATTGATTGATGTTCGAACCGAATATATTTCGGGAGGGAGGGGGGGGGTTCAAGACATGATCTACAATTTGCCTAAGTTGGCTCTTCAAGTTAGAATGATTTACGCTGGGTGTTGTGATTGTTACTACCTATTCTAAGAATGTAACAAATTAGACGTTACAGAAGGACTGACAGATTTGAGGTTGATTTTGCACTTCTATGAGGAAATATGTGCGTACCGATCGGTGCCCAATAAAGAGACAATCAAATTGGTTGAAGGCTGACAACATTACGAGCTATTGTCTGATTTTTTAAAATACCTGACTCTGCTTGGTTCGATATATTCCGCCGTACGTTTATGGGCTCCGCCGATAAGCGCTGTAAATCGTTGAGGGAAAATTCAGAAAATGGTGAAGTATGTAATTGCCGATTGAAATAGGCGAGTAATAGCCACATGAATGGTCTCCGCTTGATTCGTACATTTATTATTCATTTCCTTTTCTTTTTTTTCGATTTGATTAAATATTCAAACCGCCTAATCTTCATGCAACGACAACATATGAATGTCATGCTGCTGTGCTAAGGAAAAACGCCGTATGAATATTCGAGAATAGCTAAGTTTCCTTCAATGAAATGTTTATTTTGGAGGAGAGTTATAGTTATGAATATTTTTCCGAGAAATTTTAAAGAACTGTAGGTGAAATTGCAAAATATTCTGAAAAATTTGAAGAAAAATGTTTACAAATTTCTCGAAAATTCATGATTTACCGAAGGAAATTTGGCAACGGCTGAGGGTTTATACGGCGTATATACTCAGCACGGCAGCATGAACGACACATTTTGTCACCACAGTCGGAAATAATTGAAGGCGCTGCGGCTTTTTCAATGGCTAGGTTAGGATACGACTATTCGTGCTCTCCGGATGTCCAGGTTGCATACACAAAAAATTACAGGCGCTCCCGCTTTCTTCAGCACAACGTATGACTACGATTATTAGATCTCAAGGGTTTTCTACGCTGCACTAACAATCAAGTTTACCTTGAAATCCTCGAATTTTGGACGAGTCGTGTAGCATCATGGCATCGTTCCAAAAAGGTGCAAATTGCGGAAATTTTATCAGTGGTAATTTGAGGGATTGACATCCGCGATGCTTTTGTGAAAGTGTTTTTGGTAGAAAATCTGCACCATTTGGCAAAGCTGCCGTGATTAAACACGGCTCATAAGAACTCCGAGGATTTTACGATTAACGCGTTTGTAAATGCAGCGTAGAAAACCCTTGAGAACTAACAACCGTAACTATACGTTGTGCTCAAGAAAGCCAAAGCGCCTGCAATTTTTTGTGTATGCATCACGGGCATCATGAGACCACGAATAGTTGCATCCAAACCTAGCCATTGAAAAAACCGAAACGCCTTCAATGATTTCCGATTGTAGGGACAAAGTGTGTCTCTTATTGTCACACACATTCATACTTAGTCGTTGCACGGAGATATAGGACGCTTTGAGTATTTAATCGGATTGAAAAAAGTAATAATGGTAGTAGTAATAGACGTTTATTTTAAATCAGTGCTTTAACATCTACGGCAATACACACCTCTGTAGTTAAATAATAAATGTATAAATAAAATGGAAATTATTTATGCAGCAATTTCTCGCCAGACTTCATCGAAAAATTACACACTTTACCTAATTCTGAATCTTTTCATTTTCATTTACTTGAAGACATGTAAAAATCGTATCCTATTATTATTTACTATCTTCCATTCTGTAATACAGCGTTGCCAAATAGACCACTTGGGGGAACCGTTGTCGGCAAAAACGAGCGGAATCACGACTTATCTTGAGAAATGTGAGCATCGCTGTTTGCAGGGTGACGAGTTTTCTTATTTTTAAAAATTCCCTGACTTTTCAGTTACTTTGGACATGCAAATCTCTGACTTTTTCTTAGCTTTTCAGTGTTGTTTTGACATGATTTCTTTCAATAACTCTACTCACAATCAATTCTGAGCGCAAAGTACTTGGAAAAAAAGCGATGTTGTGGCTGGAGGGAAAAAATTCGGCAGCAAAATTCCCCGACTTTGCCCGACTTATGAGGGTTGAGGAGGATTCCTTGATAGTACTGCCGTGCTAAAGAAAAACGACGTATGAACATTCAGGCGTTGCAGTTGCAACATCTGTCTTGATAAAATGTTTATTTATGAAGGAATATTTGCAGATTTCTCCTTGTAATTTCCAGTTGCTTCCGATTAAATTACAAACAAAATTGTCTAGGAAATTTCAAAAAAAATATTCACAATTTACCGAAAAATTCGTTTTTCAATGGAGGAAATATCGCCCGAGGGTCCATACAGCGTTTTTCTTAGTAGGTTCACGATATCGTTTAGGAATCAAAGCTCATTTAGCGATATAAACGGTGCCTTGCAGTTTAGAAGGCACCGAGTATGCTGTAAAACTGATTTCGAATGAATGCACTGAAACTCACCTTGCTAGGAGGGGTTGGACCACCTGCTGAAGGCATGACGAGTGAAGGCCTGTCAGGGGTGTCTGAAGCCCTTTTGCCTGCCGGGGAATTGTCTGCAACAGAAAAAACAAAGCAAAATATTACAAATTTGTCTCATCTCCTCATTCTTTATCAATCGAAAGAAACCGAATGCTCCTTCATTTCGATGGGTCTACAATTCGAGCTACACTTTAAAACATGCGGCTCGCTCTGAGGTATTTTTTTATCGATCGATGATGGCCGACGACAACGCCAGTTTTACGCAGCGACAAAGTCATCATTTTCCCTCTAAAATTCACATTTCCCCCCCGTTCTTGCTGGCCGTTCTAGGAAAGAATGCCGTAAAAGCAATTAGATATCGTCAAATTTCCCTTGATAAAATATTGATTTTTGTAGAAAATGATGCTCTGATGCTGCTGTGCGAATAACATGCCCTAAAATTTTCAGATACACAGGATGACATTGCAAAGAAAATCCACCGAAAAAGAGGATTTTTTTTAAACTTTGAAAAAAAAAATTGCGTACTTTATCAGGAGAAATTAAGCAACGTCCAATTTTTGATACGGCGTTTTTTCATTGCCGTGGCACTGGCAGAATACTGTCGAATGGAGCTAAGGAGACGAGGAACTATTAGGACGTCAATCATGTCGGCGATCGATGAACTAGGCTCCGCGCCGATCCGGTGCCCGCGTGCAGCAATGTTCGACGACGTGTTTCGTCTTCGTCGCTTGGCCGACAAAAGGGCGTAGTCACACTTAGAGATGAGACCTAGAAATTATTAAGGTATATGGGCTACAGGGCTCATCGTGAAGTGTGGTTCTGCCCTTAATGTCAGGAGGGCGACGCGACGGTTTGACACATTCTCCAGAACAACGTCTCAGAATCCTGAGATTTTGGTCTCGGGGGTCCCCGGTCCTCCTCAGCGATTTTGATCGACGAAGCTCCAATACATCCCATTAAAAATAAACGCAAGGAGGGAAGAAAAAATAAAATAAGGACGGTTCAACTGTTACTGTATAGCCTTATTACTTGACGTGGGGACTCCAGAGTACACGGAAAGCCAAACAATAAATTGATCGGTATTTGGGTAGGGAACAATATTGCCCATCTTCAAACTGATGATTTTGCAGGAAGGAGAAGAAGAAACTTGACCATTTTTGTAATTTTGAGGTTAGATTTACGATTGTTTCATACGTTACAGCGTCATTACAGCACTCCCATGCAAAACTGGAAAAAACTAATAGCATCAGCTTGCGTGTTTTATACCGTAGAATGCGACAATGTCGCTGACTCAATTTCGCCAATATTGTAGTTAGGCGGTGGTGTTCTTAGGCTCGCAAAATTCTGTAGTCGAGAGTCCTGACATCCCTGTTAAACCCTATCGGACGTAGTGTACGCCGGTGTAGGGCTCCACTGCATAGTCGAAAAGTTTTTGCATGTTTTCATTCGTCTTTGTATCATAAAGTTGAGAATAAGTCGGAGAAAAGCAGTCATGGGGTCAGTTTTCAGTCATGGTAAGACAGAAGATTCCGTGAACTGCAGAAGACATGCTCATTGTCAGTTTCCTTTCAGAAAGAGGAAATTACTTTGAAAGTTTGCCTGGACTTGGATTAACAGCCGAATACTGTAAATAAATGACATTTTTTAGTTCTTCACTATAAGCATTTAGAAACATATACTATTAATTAGAAATATATATTTTTTAATATGCCGGACTTATTGCTGGTAAACACACTGAGCCCTCTTTTCTGGCAAATGCCCCTCTGTGCGACGACGCGACGTGTCCCGTGCCCATGCGGGTGCAACGTATATTGCAGCGCAAGAAATTGAAGGCGTTTTATGCGAGTGGTGACAAGCTAGAGTAAGATTACCAATCGTGACGTTACCTCAAGGAATCCTCGTTATACCGAACTGAATCAAAAAATAACAATAACATAACTTCTACGTATAGATGCCATCAATGGTAAAAAAAAAAATCGATACATATCGCTTTTCTGTAACATTACACACTCAATATGAAAGCAACTGTGCCTCGCTGCAATCGTGTGATGATATGGTAAAGCAGAGTTGATTTTATTTTTTCCCGTGACGCTTTTGTTCATTTTTATGTATATTTTTATTAAATAGGGAACACTTGAAATGAAACAAAAGCTTTACATGATATCCTGAAAAAATTCGTTGAAGAAACCGTTTTGATTATTTAATCAACGCGTTCTAAAATATGATCCATGTGCTGCTATACCAGTTTCTAGTCTTTCGTTGCTTAAAAAGGTCAGATCGGAACCCAAAAGCGTTGTTTGACCCAGGAGCCCAGTGATGGATTTTTTGAGGAGCTACTCATCAACTTTGAAATAAATTGGAGGTGGAAGGGGGGAGGAGATTTTTTTTCCACTGCAAGACAAAATCCTCCCCTGAGAACAAAATTCTGCTTTAAGAAAAATATCTCTTTCCTAAAGAGAGCCCCGCTCTCAAGTACAATGTTTGCCTCCCCCCTCCCCGAAAAAAAGAAAACTCCCCCCTTCAAAAAAGAATCTTTCCTCCGAAGATCTTACCTCCCGTAGAAAAATGTATTCGCGTTACAAAAAGTTTGCCGCTCTCTCCGAAAAAATTCTCTTCATAAACGTTTCTATAGCCCCCCCCCCTCACCCCTTAAAAAATGTAATTTTCCAGGATGAAGATGAAATGTGTTTAAAAACAAACTGAAAAACATGGGAATTCTTAGAAGATAAGAGGAACAAAATACTCGCGAAAATGGCGCACAGTAGATCGAGTCAATTAGAGAGGTCGGGCTTGAAATTTTTGACTGAAACAGCAAGTTTTGATGTTTATTTCGTAACATTTTGAATTTTCTGAGGTGCTTCTGAAAGAAAATTTTACGAGGAAACCAATGAAACCATTTTTAGAACCTCAAAGTTTTGTATAAACGGAGTTATAAGCGTTTAAAGTTTCCAAATTTTGTCCGACCTCTCCTCTTGACTCGATCTACTGTGTGGCGGGTCAGACAATTGGATTCTTGTTGGGCCCCTGGCGAGTCGCAGCGGGTCTGACCTACGACGGAGAAATACAAGCCGGCAACAGCTTTCTCACTTGAGAAATTTTTTACCGATCGAAATTGCGGCTTGAGCATTCTCGTCCTCGAACGGGAGCACTCATCATCGGAGGATAGGTGAAACTGGCAATCTGTGGCCAAGTGAGGAGGAACCGGTGGATTGGATCGAGTGATCTGTATGACTCACCAATTTTTATGACACGATGCACGCGGCGCAGCGATCGCGAGGGCCGTGCGACGCCACACGGATGCCGTTTTTCACGATAAAATTTGCCCCACAATACTGCCTTGCTAAGGGAAAACGCCGCATGAACCTTCAGACGTTGCCAAATTCCCTTGGATAAAACACGAATTCCCTGGTAAACTTGTGAATATTTTCCTTCCAATTTTTTAGATAATTTTGTTCGCAATTTCACCTTACGTTCCTGAGAGTTTCGAGGAAAAATATTCATAATTTTTCTCAAAGATCAACATTTTTTCAGGGGAAATTTGGCAACGCCTGAAGGTAAATGCGTTCTTCCTTAGCACGGCAGAATAGAATCAAGGAGCAAGGCCGATCCAGTGTGAAGGGTGGGACATTTGAGCGCCTTTGGAGTAAATTGAAGATCACCTCTTTTATATAATCCTTCAAAGCAGTAATCCCACCAGAACAAGCTCAGTTTGTACGTCAATTTTGACGGGTAGTTTTTCAACACCAACCTGTTTTGATGGGTCAAAGCGCAAATGAAAGTGCTTTGCTGTGACAGGTGGGACGCTACCAGCACCCTTCTGTTCTCTGCAGTCAATACTATGGCAAGTCTATCCTCTCTTAGCAGTGATAAAAATCTGCAATTAGTTATGGCATGTTGATACCAAGAGCATAGGGTGTCAAATCTTTAATTAAGATTTTTTAATCTGGTGCAGAATTAGTCATTTCAGATGTTAAAGACTGGTGTGACAGTGGGAGCGCACTTTCATGACATATGGGAAGCTGGGACACGTGCGAGTTTAGAACTTTCAATCAAGTTTTGGCATTTTTCTACTGCCCAGTTTTTAGTGGTGTATTAAAAAAGAAAACTACAATAGAACTTCTGCTAATTATGACAAGCTTTCATACTGTTGTTAGGCGATGCGCTAAAGTTGGATCCATTTTGTGAAACGGTTAGGACACAATTATTGAAATTTTGACTTATTTTAACCCAACTCGTTGAAATTCGATCGAATTTGCTTGGAAAATTGTGTGTTGCTTGTTTCCAGGACGGCGCACTGTTGTATAATATTTTTAAATTTTTATCAGCGTTTTTACCAGAGTGAAAAAATGTGCTGAGGCTCACGTCTTCCTTGAATGACGCAAAAAATAAAAAAGTTTCTTTAAAATTTGGCAACATTGATTCGGAGCCAACAACGCCATCGCATCGCCACGGAACACGCGATTCCAGTCAGACGGTTCTCGCCCTCTCACCTGACATAATTCGCTATATCCGCACGTACGTATACTAGCAACGAAAACGTGTGGTGGATCGTCTTTGGTGAGATATCGATAGAGAAAAAACCTCAAGAGGTGGTAGTCAAAAACAGCCCACAGACCTCTAACGTGAGGAAAATCAGTTTACAAAACTAAAGTTTTGTCGTTCACTCAACCGAGGTCTGGCCATTAGCATTGAGAGAAATCAAAACCGCAAAGCCGCCTTGGAAAGCTTACGTTAATTTTTCGGTTATCAGAGCCACTCGAAGATTTTCAAGTGATCTAGGCGTAAAATTTGATCTTCGCGGGGATTCGTATAATCTTTACGACGTCATAACGATTTTTATAGCAGATTTGCGGTTTCGTTTAATTCCATTAAAAGACTTGACGGTTTTTGCACAATGGAAAAAAAAACACATTGGATCTCGAGTCCAGACTCTTAAAAACATCGACAAGAAAAAATACTCTTGATTCAATCGGATTTAAGCTTCAATCAAGAACCCAGCAGCCTCTTAATTTGAGCGGATTTCCTTTTGATTTAAGCTTAAATCTGATTGAATCAAGAGCATTTTTTCTTGTCAATGTTTTCAAGAGTCTGGACTCTAGATCCAATGTGTCTTTTTTCCAGTGCTTTCAGGTCGGCCCTCTGTGATTTAATTGCTTTAAGCTAAGTGGAATTCACACGTAGTTTGGATTTTTGGACGGCTTCACGGCTAGGGATCCTCTTTGAGTGTTGCATAAAGGAATGGGGAACCGGTGCGGGACTTACTTTGAGAGGCAAAAACTTGATAAAACTGTGAGAGGTAGGTGAGGACGGAGAGTCGGTCAGGCACCGGATACTCGACCATGTCCTCGGCGTCGAGTAAAGCTGGGATGCCCAGGTGTCGCTCGGCTGTCCTGAACGCCAGGTCGTTGTTCCCGTACACGTCCTTCTTGTCCAAAGCACTGAAATTACTGAAACAGAAACACGTAATCACGTTAGACAGCGAGCCAATTATTCTAAAATAAACAGAAAGACAAGGTTTCAGTTCCTCTCACAGACTCTGACCCTTCATTGTTCCTAGCGATTCAGAGTCTGTCTAACCCAAACGCTCTACAATCCAAGTAAATATCACTCCTGATCCACGCGCGCAAACAAATAAAGCAAACAGAAGAGTTGTCTCTCATAGAAAATGACTCAAAAATCACGATGAAATCGAAAAAGTCTGAAATACACTCCCAACTTCACAATCTGCGTAAGAAAGATTTTTCAAGCTTCCCTCTTCGAAAACGATACAACGGCTCAGGTGAACATTTCGTAAGAGGAGTCGCTCCATCCAATCCTTGCGCACTAGGATGCTACGCACTATTCAACATGGCTGAGTGCCAATCCGTCAAAACACACGTGAGGAGACGGGATTATATCCAGCTTTTTCGGGATTTTCTCGAGATTTCGGGGTTTCCGTCGGTTAGACCGACCATTTGATCGGATTGATGATTTTCCTAATAAAATTTGACGGTCTACGGAACTAAATCCGGGCGTATTTCGGGATTTTGTCCCGAGAAAATAGGGGAAAAGTCGGAATTTTTCTCGGAACTTTCGGAAATAGGCGATGATTCCGGGAACCCTGGAATCTGTGCACGCCCCCCTCTTACCTAGGGGGTCCCTTGACATTCTTCGGTGCCCACCGAGTGGTTATCAACGTGGCATCCAGAGGCGGCGATACCGCGACCTCCTTCAATAAACCATGACGGGGCGCGAGGATCTCGGAATCTAGATCAGATTCGCGTCATAATAATAGTCGTCCCGAGGGCCCGGCTCTCGCAGCGCACGGTGGATCCAGTCGATCGGAGAGGTCGGACATGACATTTTTTACTACAACTGCATTTTGATGTTTATTTCGTCACACTCCAAATTATAAGGGGTGCCTCTAGAGGTAAATTTCACGGGGAAACCAATGAAACCGCTTTCAGAACCTTAAAGCTTTGGGTAACGTTGCATGGTGTCAACGATCATGGTGTCAACAAACCTAAAATCTGATCATGGAGTCAACAATTGTTGACGTCGTGCTCAGGCAGTAAAACGCAAAAATGGGCCCTGATCATGGTGTCAACGATAACGGTGTCAACAAACAAAAAAATATCTTCCTTATAAGTAAAATTAAAAAGTTAAGTGCATAGGAGAGGTCTGGGTCACGTATGGTTGGTAAGATTAGATTAGAACACAAGAAAAACAAGACTTGAAAGTTGAAAGATGTTACAAGAGGAAGTTATAAGTTTTTTTGACGTCGTGAACGTTGACACCGTGATCATCTTTCATAAGAGTCAGAATTTTTTTATTTTTGGATGATCATGGAGTCAACAAAAACTTAGAAAAACTGTTTGTTGACACCGTAATCGTCGACACCATGCTACGTAATCAAGCTTTATATGAACGGAGTTATAAGCGTTTAAAGTTTCCAAATTTGGTCCGACCTCTCCTATTGACTCGATCTACTGTGCGCCGCGGCGATCAGGGCGTCTGGCGGCGCGTGTCTGCCGGAAGTAGGAAACACATAGTCGCCCCTCTTAACATAAGGACGTATCTCAATTTTCGCGTGAGTCCTGTTCTGCATGTGAACCCATACTTCCTGGGGCTGGTGCGGGAATCAAGAGTAAAAACTGAAAACTCAACTGGAAATATAAAAATGTGACAGGATCTGTGAAAAAGGACCTTATCTTTCCTAAAATTCAAAATTGAGATATTGAGATAGGTACCACTGAATGGAAGAAAAAATCTGGACATATCGACGTAAGTTTGACCCTGAAAGCTCAAAAATTGAGAGAGATAACGACGTTTTAAAGTTCCAGGACAAGAAATTTTAAGTTTTAGGGTAAATGCTTGGTTTTAAGGGTAGAGGGGGAGCAGCTAGGGCCCTATGCGGAGAGAAAATTATACAAAAACCGCGCGTAGCTTGCGCCCGAAATTTCTGGCGAGTGTTTCTCGGGGCGAATTCAAAATTGCCAATTTAGAACTCTTCCCCGAAATTCAGCTCTCCTGGGTAATTTACTCCCGAGATATAAGACTCCTTTTCACAGATCCTGCCACAAGTCTGTAACTGAATTGGTCACTTACAAAAAGGCTCAAGCGCCAGATATAAAAATACGAAAAAACTGTAGAAACTGTACGAATCATTCCGTTTTAAATTGCAGATTGACTGATAATGTGATTAATCAATTCATCGCTTTAATATTTCAGAGCTCTGAGCTTTATATAAGTGGTCAATTAAAACGGTTAGTACCATTTGTCTCGACTTCTCATTCTTGGCGCTTGAGCCCTTTTGTAATTGACCGATTCAATTGCGAAAAAATTTCACGAACAAAAAACTTGGCAGCGAAGTAGATGGAAAGTGTAGCAGTATACTATCGTTAATAACAGGGTGTCTACTAAAACAGGCTGGCCAAAAATCAGTACTTTTACGGTACTTTTTCAGTACATTCCCAAGAAATTCAGTACCCTCAACAGAATAATTCAGTACTTTTTCAGTACCTCCATTTGACGAGATTCGAAAAATTTCAAAAATTTGGATTTCTCGCTCAAGTTGCGACCAAGTTCGGGCCTTTGCGACAAGTCAAATTCCGAACCTTCTTGCGGATTTTCCGGACTTTTTCAGTACTTCCCGACCGCCCTTAAAAAATCAGTGGTATTTCCGGACTTTCAGGAAATTCCGGACTTGTAGACAACCTGGTTAGTGTCTGTTTGGCTATAAGTATAATTGGGAGATGATCCCTGAGTCCTGACTGAGGTCCGACGTTGGGACGGCGACGCGGCGCCACTGTGGGGCATGCAAGATCCGCACCCGGTTGCGGCCGGCTGGCCACAGTCCCAGCGAAGGGGGTCATGGTTGCCCCACCCCGCGGCTATCGGTCTTCCAACACGATCGGCTCAACTCGGCCTTCATGCCTTCAAACACGGGCTCAACCCATCAAAGTTCGATCAATCGATTCGCGATACTTTCCCTACGACGAACGGGGAGTCCCGACGCAGGCTCACAGGGCTAGCCTCAAGTACCTGTATACGGGAGAGTATTGCCAATGTAAACAAACAAGATGGCGACAAAGTTCTACAAAGTTCTGGACGTGATTTTGGATGTGGTGGATATTGTATTACATCCAACTTCTGAATTGGGATATTTATACCGAAAATTAACCTTTGAGTATGATTATCATTCATTTCTCAGCCGATAATACGCGTCCCTCTGGGTCGGGTTTGTTTACATTGGCCCAACTTAGGAGCTCCATGATAAGCCTAAAACTGATGAACCAATCAGAGAGCGGCACAGAGATGGCAATACTCTCCCGTATACAGGTACTCTAGGCTAGTCCACTCCACATTCTCCGCATTCTATATGTTAGATGGGCTGAGTTTGCACGTGCTTTGTACATACGTGTTTTGTGTTTGTATGTAGTATAGTTGTATACATGCACTGAAAAATTAATCTGACGATCTACGCGAAACACGTGTTATAGGCACCCGTTTACGATACATCCCGTGTATTGACTTCTTACGCAGGTGCATCGTATACGTATACGAAGGCAGCTTCGTATATAACAGCAAACAGTACGGAAAATTATTGACATTAGGTATGTGAAAACAATAGGCCGGAATTTTGTTAGCTACAGGTGACCGCAAGTTGCGAAACCTAACCTCTAAATTCGATTTCCATTTCGAGCAAATTGTATTCTAAACTCAAGCTGTACACGCAAATCGAGATTTTTTTCAGAGATGCAAACTATTGATGAGCAATAGAGGAACGAAGTCGCCATCCTCGCCTCATTTTGCGGTCGACCGCGAATCTGCTAACAAAATTCGGACCCGGGTGGGATTGGACCTGAGGTTTGGCCGTGAGGAAAAAACCCCAGCAGAGTGATTATTGAAATTAACAGATAAAGCAATGGACAAAGAAAACAAAGAGAAAATAGAGTGCTGTCATTGGTCGAATCAAGTGATGGCAATGGACAAAGTAATAGACTGACTGACGGCAACCCACGAGAAACCCCTACAGTTAGTCCACCGTTTGCCCCCTCAATCTATAACAATCACCCGTTTCAACCAATAGGGGCGTTCTATTTTTACTTTGTTTTCTTCGTCTATAGCTTTGTCTATAGATCTCAATAATCGGTCCACAGATCACAAGAAACGGATATAGTTTCGGATTCTTGAGCACCCCTGCAGTTAGTATTAAAATTTCAGTTGAACATGAACGAATTATGTAGAAAAATTTTTACGTGTCATATGAGCATTTCGGCGTTTAGTGACCATTATTTTGCCCACCCCGAATAAATAATATTCAGAATTGAGGAAACTGCCGGTGGACAAAGAAACGTCATGGCCGTGGAGAAAGCAAGAATCACAGTGCTAAATCCGTTCGGAAACAAATTCAATCAACTCGAGATCGACAGCCAGTGGAATAATGAGGTCAAACATGTCACAAGAAAAACCGCGCCACTATTACACAACGCGGAACCAACACCAGGTTGCGGCACGCTCACTACGCCGACCTTTATTTGGGAGGAGGAAAAAAAGAAGGAAAACATATAATATCAATAATATAATACCCACTTCGGCCCTAATGATGAGAGAACAAGAAAAATTCACTAGCAGCGGACTGGTTGTTGAAATTAATAGACAAGGCGACAGACAAAGAAGACAAAATATATTTGGAGGGATCCCATTGATGGAGTGGGGGGGGGTGCAATAGACAAAGAAGGTAGGTAATATACTAACTAACGGCAACCCACAAGAGACCCTACAGTTAGTCCATAATTTCAAACGTTTGTCTATAGGAACCAACCATTGGAACCAATTGGAGAACCTTCTTTGTCTATAGCTTTGTCTATCAATTTCAACAATCAGTCCGCCGGAAGACAAACAACGCTTGCCACCGTTCAATCAACTCCCCGTTATTCTTGCTTGAGTCTTTAGGAAAATCTAC